TATTATTTTCAATGTTGCCAAAGCTCTGCAATTGATAGGTGCTGGATTTATGAACAGTAAACTCTGTAAGTGAAATGGGGTAGTTAAAATATTGAGAGAGTTTGTTTTAGTTCCAGTGCACATTTGTTCTTAAAGTCAAATAGTTTATGCAGATTTTCAACAGGTTTGTGCTTTTAAAATTCTTTGAGGGTTCAAGCAAAATTGTAGAAGTTTGCTGTATCTTAGTACTTTGACTTAAAAAGCTGATTGGAATGTGATTGCTGCACTAAAAGCAGAAGGAAAGCTTTTGATGAACACAGATAAGTAATTATTATTATTATTATTATTATTATTATTGCCAATGTGCAAAAATGAATATGCTAATAGAAGGTTAAAGCCACTTAGCATCATAATATTTGTAGGGCCTGATCCAAAGCAAATTGGAGTTATTAGAAGTTTCCCTATTGATTTATCTGAACTTTGAATCAGACTCTTCCGATTGCAGGTATCACATTGCTTAATATCTCAGGTTTTGTTTTTACAGCTGTTGTGTCTGTCCTGCTAGTTTTCTCATATTCAAGTCAGTGATGTAGGTTTCCATTCTTGTACAAGTAAATTGAGTTTTGAAAAGCATCTTTCGAAGTAAACAGGCAGTTACAAACCTGTTTCTTCAGTTTGCTTTTAGAAATGCTAGAGGGTATATTTAACAATAATGAAAGGTGGGTGCACATGCATACCTGTTTACCAAATCCTTTGGAATTACTGCCTGAATGCTAATAAAGGTTTTTGCCTAGCAAAGACAAGAATTATCTCATCATTTTATCTCGGGTGTTTTAAAAGTGGAGTTCTGTTGGAGAAAACAAACTCCAATCTGAAGGGAAAAATGGGATAAAGAGCAGATTATGTAATCCAGAACGAATGGCTAGTGAATGTGCCATGTCTTTTAGGGAAATGTTTCTATCTTGTCATATGGAGAATGAAGCACCGTACCTTATATGCAGTGAAAGTCTCAATATGTTTGAGAAGCCCCTACTGAACATAGTCATTTAGCACTTGATTTTGATATGCTGAGTTTTAGCAGCTCATTGTTTCCTCAGCCATATCCTTGAAATTCCTTGTTCATCTTTTCTCCCCCTAAGAAGGGAACAGATCGAAGACTGAAGTACAGTGCCTTCACTGAAGCAGCATTTCTGACTTGTAATGTGAATCTTTAGAACTTCTATTTGCAGTTTCAGAACTTCAGCAAAATTCCTTTACAAGTCTGTGAACATAATTTAAACAGGATCATCCCCCTGTTCTTTTTCCTCCTTTGTTTTGCTTTCCTTTTGTAACTTTCCTATGTCTTTTTAAATAAGACGCGATGCGCTTTGCAGGCACAGTGGTAGTGACCCAGTGTCAGTGTAAGACAGTGGTAGAGTCTCTGTTCTCAAACTTGTAACCATGTGTGTAAGTGAACAGTTCAGCTTCCTTGGACTTTTAAAGAAGAAATATCCATAAAAATCTTAGACTAAATCTGATACTTCTTTACAGCTGATCTCTGAAATGCTGTAACTCACGAGAACCAGTTAATTTATTTGACCTCCAAGTATTTGCTGGAGAAAGTGAAATTACAAAGATTATTTTTCATCCCAGTGAACATGTTTGTTGGCAACCTGATAACCTGGAATGTCACAGGAAAAACACTCCGTAGTTATAGAGACTGTCTGAAAGTGCTACAATTGCAGAACTGCCTTCAGTGAGAGTTAGACTGAGTTTCTGTGATAACATTCTGGTAAAGAATGGATTGAAGTGTATTAATTAAAACCCTTTTGAAGCCATGTTTACTATGTGCTCTTTTCAAATACTCTGTGCTCTGGTTCTAGAATATTGACTTGAAGGGGTAAGTAGAAAAAAATGTGCGGTGGAAAGGGGTGGGGAGATCCAGGAGCTCAATGGGATGTATAACCACTCTGTTATCATGCTTTTCTTCAGTTTTCTGCAGCACACTTTTGCTAGCTGCAGGAAATATTCACGTGGAAGTGCTTGCTGGTCCATTCCTCTAGGGACAGGAAATAGGAAGCTCAGAGAGCAGAAATCCCAGGATGGATTTTTTTTTAGCTTTACTGAGATGGAATTAAGAGAACATTCAAGTTTTGTCTTGATTAATATATTGGACAGGTTCCCCTCCTGTGTTAATAAACAACAAGATTCTGACTAACTCAGCTGAGTCAGGCTTTTACCCACAGATCAGTAAAAGGCAGTTTCTCATGTCCAGTTTAATAAGAAAAATCTGGAATTTTTTTTTTGTCTTTAACAGACTAAGACATGCCCACAGCCTTTTGTCACCTGTGGATGACATTAAAGATATCTGATTTGGGATTCCGTGCTGCATTAGAACAGTGTGTCATAGCTTGCAAAGTCAAGAATATTCAATACCTTGATTTCTGTGTTATTTCTTTGAGTTTGTGAAGAAAGGTTACAGCATAATTACTAATTTCTCAGACAGTTTTAGGTCTTTTAAATCAGTAAAATTGGATATTAGGTAACTAAATAGTAATAAGATTTTTAAAAGAGAAATTAGAGTAAAATTGCAGGGACAAAAGTGTTTTAAAAGTGTTCTATTTTCCTCCAGAGGGAAGGTGTGTAGCAGACTGAATACAAGTGAACCAGTGTTATACATAAATTCTAACAAGGAAATCAGAAAAACAGCTGAAACTGTATTGTATTTCATAAGTGCCCATACAAAGATTTGTTTTCCATCCAGTTATAGCTATAGTCATTTATTCATGTTTATGTCTACAGAAAAAAGACTGTTTGGTGCAGTAAAGTCTAAAGCAACTGAACGCTTATTTATAAATGGTGTTTGCATGCTGAGCAGAGCAAACTGCAAACTGGGCACTCCTGGAGCACTTGCAGAAATGAAGCAAGTCACAAAGCTTGGAGCTTTTGTGGCTGCCTGAATGGAAAAAGAGCACTGTATGTGGCATGTTCTTCTTGGAAGGACAGTGGTGAAACAGACTCTTCTGTTAAGCCAATTAGATTTACAGCTTAGATAATTTGTGTAGTAATGAGAGTGTGTGAAAAAATCAGAGTAAGAAATGCTTTTATTTAGAGGAGGAGAGTGTAGAGTAAGGGCTGTTCACCATTGGTGTGAGAGGGAAAAACTGCTGCTTTTTTCCTTCTTCTGGTCACCCAGCTCTGACAGATGGCTCCCCGGCAGCAGGTTAACAAAGAGGGTTTTCTGCAGCCTCAGACAGCTTGCAAAGGAAAGGTTATTTGAGGAGCCTGAGGCATGGCATGCTCAAGGGAACAGTCAGTGCATCGCGTCCACTTAGCCAGGAGAAATTAAATCCTGCATTTACTGCCTTACATGCCAAGCAGAAACCCCCATCCCATGTTTTCTAGCTATGGGAAGTGAGATCCTCAGGTGGCACAGTGTGCTCTGCTGAACTAAACCAGTTCATGTTGTCTGGAGAGATGAATAAGTCATATTCCCAAATAACTGATTTTGTTGTCTGTAGATTGCCGGGGGCCTGGGCTTTGGGTGTAGCTATGACCTTACTCTTTTTGTTTGCTGGCCAGGAGGCTCTTAGTCTCATCTGTGGTTTTTATGCCTGGTTTTGGACAGCTGCTGCCAGGGAATCTCTTGTCTATACTTTCCTCAGAAGGTGAGATGGACAGTCTTGCTGCCTGGGAGAATAGGAAGTGCCAATTCCTGCTGTATTCCTACTGCCTGATTTTCTGTTTTCTTTCTTTTTGTTGTTGTTTTTTTTTGTCTTTTCCAAATATTGACTTTTCTCCTTTTCCTCTCCTAAATTTTTGTCTGACATGAGTGCGTTGCTGCTGGCATTGTTCTCTATCTGCCTTCTGTATCTCCTTGCAGACTTGCATGGGGGAACTGCTGTGGGAAAAGGGAATAAACACAGCAGTGTTTTTTGTTTCTGATTTATTTATTTATTTGAGCATCAGGAGAGACTGATGCTGGGAGATGTGGAATTGTAAGAATAAACAAAAAGAACTTGAGTCATGTCAGAGCCCCTGCACCAGCTCATGTCTCTGCCGTGCCAATAACTAAGGCACAGTTAGTCAGTAACCCACTGAGTTGTGTAAAAGCCCTACTGGGCAAAATGTGGCTTTTTCTCCATATGTAGTCTCCCTTTCTGATGGCAGATGATTGAGCTCAACTCTCTGTTTCTCAGCAGTCTACAAATTAAAGATGTCCCTCAATACAAGATTTTGTAATGACTGGAAAGCCATGATAGTTATATGGCATTCTCATTAAGGGAGATATGGTGGTTGAAGGAAGTAATCTTCCTGGACACAAGGAACTGGTATGTTCCCTGCTGTTGGCACAGAGCTACAATCTGATAACCAAACCAAGAATTAGCTGCTCAGAATTAACCCTGTAAGAATAAACTAAATTAATTATTTTGTGCTGAGATCACCCACCAAAGTGTGCTTCAGGGTTACTGGATGCAGACAAACATCCTTGTTCAATGAAAGCACAAGTCCCAGCTATAGGCCAGCCTGTCCTGCTCTCTGCTGCCCTTCCTTGCATCAGAAGATGCTTTCTTTAAGTAATAATGTTTTTATCAGACAAGTGTGATGTTCTTTGTACTAGCTTTTGCCATGACACTGCTGTAGGTTGAAGTGTGATTTCAAACTCCTTGGGCTAATGATTATAATTGCTACTTGTTTAATAGCTCTAATGGATTTTTCTTTTGTAAGGTAGCATGTTAGAATTTTCCCACTGAAATCCAAATATTCTTTTTGATGGAACGCGTGCTTGAGTGCCCGCTTTGAAGTAATGGCATGTGAAGTAGAGGAGCTGAGATCTCTCAGTATTCATTTATATTCTTGAACAGGACAGTGGCTTTTAATTTCTGGTCTATAGGTCTTTAAGTTTAAGAAATATACCTAAGAAATGCAAGTCATAGAAATCTTAAGTCTGTTCTGAGATCTGATAGCATTGTAAGGGTTTATAAATTGAAAGGCTAAAAACTGCTGTAGTGAATATTAACCCGGGTTTGAATCAAGCATACCTGCTAGTGATCTAATCCCACTGCAGTAAATCTTACGGCTCTCTTCATGTATCATGAAGTGTCATCTTTGCACAGGACCCACAGTTCTTCACTTGAACGAAGTTTATGAGGTGGCCAGTGTCCTGGGTAATTATCGTTTGTCATTCTTCTCTTTTTCCAGCACAAGTAAAATGGAACTTCCTCAGCTACGAATGCCTCTAGTAGTGAAAGAACATAGTCATAAAAAAATTTAGGTGAGAAGGAATATCTGGAGAGCAATGAATCCAATATCTTGCTTCAAGTGAGGTCAGGTTGCTCAGGGTCATTTTCAGCCTCTCTTCAGTCTTCCTTTTTTTTTTTTTTTTTCTTTTTTTAATGTTCCCGAAAATGAAGATTTCACAGCCTTCCTGAATATCCTGTTCCTTTACTTAATTGTTTTCATTATGGAGAACATTTTCTTATGTCCAACCAGATTTTCTCTTGCTCGGACTCGTGACTAATCTCTTGTTCTCATTTGTGCACTGTTTAATGATCTTGCTTAGTCTTTGTAACTCCACTTCGGGTAGTAGAAGACTGTAATTCAGCCCTCCTTCAGTTTTGTGTTTCTCTCAGGACCAAACCTGGTTCCTTTGGTCCCTGTCTGTGTCATGCACCAGATCCCTGAAATATTTATGAATGTTTAGTATAACCTGAAAGTTGTCAGTGTTCTCAGTAACACAAAGGCTAAAACAGGGCAAAGGGTGCTGAGTTCTCTTAATGTTTCAAAGCATTCCTGCCCCTATGGTTTTGATCTTCAGTATTTTCTTCAGAGGTGGTCTTGATCTCTTTGGAAACAGGCTGCTGTTTTGCAGGCGTGGATTTGAAAAGAGCTTTATTTTGTTTTTGCTTTCCTTTCTACCCCCTACTTGTTGCTTATAGTGTAACTCAGGTAATAAATAATAAACCTGTTTGCTCACATGCCTTCTGTTGGCAGTATCTTGCACTGCTGTGTTTAATGAGTAATAAGTTATCCACAAAACTCGAAGCATAAGAGCTATTTTATGCATCAGCAGTGACTTTGCTTTAATGATCCGTTCTTGTGAAGATGCTTTGGTTTGCTTTTGCAATGAGATGCACAAAGTTTAACTTAGCAGAATATTAATACAAAGCTTTCCAAGAAGATCAGAGGCTCATGCTGTGGGGCAGTGGAATGCATGTTTGCTGAATCACATGTACTCAAATGGAAGGAAGAACGATTATGCCTTAACTGAAACCTAGCAGAGAAAGAAATCATCTTTGTGACAAGAAAAAAAACTGCTCAAAATATGTGTCTTGCCTGGAAAATTCTAAGCGCATCGTTATTTATGCTGATGAAATAGTGCCTGAGAATATCCAAGTTTACTTGCAGACTGTTGTGTTTTTCTAGGAAAAGCTATTGTATTTTTTCCAATCAAGCTCTAAAGCATGGCAGCCTGCTCTCTCTTCCCTTTATTTACCCCTTTCTAATGCTATTTTGTGGAAGGCTTTCAAAAAGGTATTTGGTGTATATAATGTGCAGTTACCAACATTTGGATGTAGATACCCATTTGAGATTGTTCCAGTAGGTCAGATGGCTTAATTATTTACCCGTGTGTCTGTTTGACTATGACATCCAAACCAGCATTCTTGTGCTTGATCTGCATGGTGTTCGCTGCATGGTGATTGTCAAGATACACTGAATTCAATATGTAGAGCTGTTTCAAGAGCAGAAGCCTCACTTTTTTGTGGATGACATTGACAACGTCACATTTTTGCTCCTGCATACTCATGGAAAGTGGTCCCTTTGCATACTGGAGCCCATGGAGCTTTGTCTTACTTACATCAGATTTGGATGCTGCTCTTTATGTACTATATTAGTGAATGGTAAGTGCTGCTGGACTGGACTGGCCAAACTGGTTATTTTCTTTGTGGCATTTCAGTTGTTTCATCTAAATAATGTACTTAAGGTTGACTTTTGATTTTTTTAAAAACCTTTCTTCAGAGAAGGAAGAGAAGTTGGGACAGGAGTTTGGTTCATAGAGTAGTTAATTTTAGTTTAATGAGTAGTGTTTAAGATAAGAAAGCATCATACTGAAATGGGACAAAGTTATCCTGTTGTGACTTCTTATTGTGATCCTCAGCTTAAATGTGTTAGTGATTCCTTCTGAGGTACTGATGTTAGTGGAGTTTGTTTTCTGTAGACTTGAATCTTAAGCTCTGGTTACCTGAATCTGCAGTTCTTTCTCAAGAAGTACAGCTCTGCAGTCCAGCAGTTATTTTGGGCAGTTTTCTGTGCAGTTCTGAATGTTTTTGCAACTTTGCTTTATTTGTGAGGCTCTGGGCTTCCTGTTCTGAATCTTCTGAGTATAAGGGTGTATGAACAATATGATCTCATGTACATCCATGGCTAAACAATTTCTGCTAATCAAGTTAATTATCTTAAGCCATTACTGTAGTTTATTTGTTATATTGAAGTCTGATGAAGACTATTTTCTTTAGCCTTCTGGAACCCAAAGTCCCTTCTCTGGTAAAGTAAAGAAAAAAAAAGTCATGAGCTGTCTGTTTTGGAGGAAGGCTGTATGAACTCCTCATGCTTGCATTGACTCCTCCCTCTGAAACTTGACTTGTGCTGCTTCTAAGTCCTCTGTGTATTTCCAAGTACTGCCTGCTGTTCTTTGGAGAGAATAAAGCCTCCTGCTAAGTAGGCAGCTATCCTCCCTATCACTCTAGTGGATTGCCTCTCTCTCGAAAACAGTAATTTAAATCTCAGCTGATTTGGATTCGTGGCATTATTTAGTATCAACTCTATGTTCCCTCTGCTTATACATACGTGCATGCATTTTCTAAATTCCTGAGGGAAACTGTGCAGCCAGTTGCCTGCTGCCAAAGCTATTGCAGTATCTTAGCAGAACATCTTTAGGTGATCATAACAGAGATGTCATTGTAATGCTTCTCAGGTCCTTCTCTCAGAAGGATTTGGGGTAACGCTGCAGTGTGCGAGCAGTGCACTCAGTTCTTGCTGGGCAGGGCTGACAACATTCAGGTGCTCCTGTGGAGTGTCACTAAGATCCCAAGAGGTACTCTGCTTTACCTACATGGAAGCTTTAAATACATTTTGAATTCTATGCACTCATTGGACAAATTCGTAGTATTCACTATGAAAATAACCACTGCTGAAAATAATCTGATTTTTCACTTCCATCATTTTCTGCTCAGAAATTATTTAGGCTGTCCATAAAATGCAAGCAAAAGAACATGTGAGATTTTCAGTGCTTTTTGAGCTCTTAAGGGAAACAAGAGTGTCTGGCAAGGGCACATAAGGCATGTAGATTGTATGAAAAATGAGGTCACATTCTCCTGCTTTGGCTGCATCGGAGTTCCAGTGCAACAACGGCTGGATGTGAACCACTGCTGAGATAATTCATTTTCCTGTTTCCCACAAAGGAATAAACAGCAGCTGGGTCTGAAGTGCCTAAGATGATTTGAATGAGTTCCTCGTTACTTTGCTGTATATCTTCAGTTTCACCAATGGAATGTGAAGTGAGAAGAGCCCTAAACTGTCAGTTTTATTCAGGAAGACTTTCTCATGTTTTTTGGTGATGCTTCTACCATCAGTCCTGTCTCTAGGTGAGGAAATATATCAGTACACCAAGATGGCATACTAGGAATACCATTTAACAGAGAATTTCTGGGACAGCGAGGTAGCTGCTGCTTCAGGAAACATATGTTTGAATCTTTGTTCTTTTATTTTATGGTTGTGTGAGATGAAAAAAGGTAAGAATATTTAGCAGCCATACTTCGGTCACTTCTGGAATAGCAAAAGTGTGGGTGACTTCTTATTTACTCCAGGATTTTTCATGTTAATCTCTTATTGCCATCTGTAAAAGTGTGCTGGAGTATCACTTCTGGGAACTGGAACTTGAATGAATTGCACATGAAGCCCACAACAAAGAATGAAATTTAAATATTCTTAAATGCTGCTGTTAAACTAATGGTTCCAGGATGGGGTTTATATCTTAGAAGGTGTTTTGGTGGCTTTTTTTTTTTTTCTATTTTTTTTTCTTTTTTTTTTTTTTTTTTTTTTTTTTCATTTACCTTAAATAATTTGGGTATACCTAAATATGGCAGATAGTGTTTCTGCGGGTGCATCAGGGTCCCTTGGTTGCTGGTTCAGATGGAAGGAAGAACAAAGAGTGGCAGTAAAGGCATAGAATCATAGAATCACCAAGGTTGGAAAAGACCTAAAAGATCATCCAGTCCAACCGTTCACCTATTCCCAAGGCAGTGCAGGATGCCAGGAAACTATAAAACTTCCTGGCCTGATGGATTTGCTTGAATTCCTCTTTGTCAGCTCAGAAATTCCTGCACTTTGTGACATCTGCATTTCATGACAGCTGCTTTTATAATGGCTCTGTTCAGTGGTGCTGTATCCAAGTACCTTTCAGTGACGGAATTGCTTATTGATGTCCATCCCATCTTTCTCCCTCTCTGGAGAGGGATGGGCAGCAAAGTTATGATTTTGAAAGGTAAAGTCTGTCTATCTGTGTTCCAAAACACCTCTTACACACTCGTGTTGCTACAGGAAGGCTGATACTTCAGTAGCGCACTTGCGGTGGGAGAAGAAGGAGGTGGTGAATTTCTTTGAAGGTAATTGGTTTCTTAGGACACTTATTCCACAATTACCACGGGGTAATTCTGCCACTGACATGGAGCAGCTTTACCCTGGTTGCAGTGAATTGCTTTGCTTAGGATCCCAGCTGTCACATGCATTTTTGTTTCAGGCTTCAATTTATACATTTTTGTGTTATTACTTTTAAATGATGTTTGAACTCAGCAAGTGTTGTCACCTTTATTTTAAGGAAGTTCTAGAAAAACTTTCTGCTTCATAAAGGTAGCAAACTTGAACGTTCTCTGTTTAAGTACATTTGGTATGTAATCTGTTTTTGCAGAATGTTTTCAGTGCTTTCTGTTTTGTGAATTCCTCTATATCTTTTACAGAGAAGACTTAAGACAGAGCTTTCTTAGTTTTTAATTCACGGTTGTTGTTTTTTCCACCTTAACCTCTTAGGATGAATATTTGAACAACCTTTGGTCTCGAATCAAAATGTCCCTCTGTGCGTCTTCTCACAAGGACTTTTCTCAGTTGCTGCCACTTCAGGATGTTGGATGCAATAAGACAGAAATTAAAAACTCACCTGCTGGTATTGGCTCTCCAGTTCCCTACAGCTGTAATCAGTCTGCATTGACAACAGAACACAGTCCAATCTACATCCCTTCGTCTTATGTGGAAAACAGGCATGAATATTCTGCAGTGGCGTTCTGCAGTCCTGCTGTGATGAATTACAGCATAGCCAGCAATTTTGGTGATTCTGAGAGTGCATCTGTGAGGCAAACATCGAGCCCAAACATGTTATGGTCTGCTCCTGGCCACCTCTCCCCTCTGACACTGCACTGTCAGTCATCACTTCTGTATGCAGAGCAGCCTAAGAGCCCGTGGTGCGAAGTGAGACCTCTTGAACCAGTGCTGCCCGTCACCAGGTGAGTGCCACTCACTTCTTCAGAACTTTCCTAACAGTTAATTACAGCTTCTTTAGTACCTTTATGTCTTTTTGTTATTACTTTTAAAAGCATTGTATTTCTGTGTATCAGGAAAACAAAGAAAAAACCCCCACCAAGCACCAATTTGCTCCGGATACTTTGCCATTGCTTTTTTAATATAACTTAGAATTTATTTTAAAGTCCTTTCAGGTGAAAGGAGTAAAGGCTCTTATTACTTTTTTCTTCCTACAGTGTTGTTTGAATTCCTGTGGGTTTGTTTTTTTTCTGCATCAAATAGTTACAAAGACTTTTAGAAAAGCAAAAGGGAAGTTTACCTTTTTAAATTTGTTTTGAGAATTAACAGCCACACAGCAACACGCCTCGTGGTTAGAAAAAGTCTGACACTTCTTGTTGCTGTTCCGAACTGGCTTTTCATTAAGGCAGCGTGAGCAGCAGATTCACAGGCTGAATTTCTCAGAACTGAATTTGTACAAACGTTGTTTCATGCTGCGCAGACCCCAGTGTTACATGCCATGAGAAGTGTGTGCATCATCAGCTGACAAAATAATTCCGTTCAGGTTCACAACAGCTTTTTATGCATAAAAGCAGAGGGTGTTGCAGGGGCAATTCCTCTTTTACGCACTGTGTGTTTGTTCATAGGGCTCCTTATTTAACTTCAGTCATTGACGATATGAAAAATAGCATGTCCTGGCTGTAGTTCAATTGTCAGTAATTTTGTTACTACCCACATCCCTTCTGCAATGGATGGATTTTATATTGTTTGCCCAGCAGTAAGGTGTAAAATGTAAGCCTGATTCAGACTTGTGGACTGCAGGAATCTTCAGGATGGCCACTTGAATAGTCTGCCTTTGGAGTAGAAGAGTAAGAGGCAGTTCTGGAGTGCATATCTGCTTCAGGTGTTAGGTGTGTGAGTTGGGACAGGCTATTTTAAATAGCACCAACATACAAAGGGATTCCTTGAGCAGGTGAATGAGGTTATCATCCAAACTCTTCCCACTTTGGTTAACGTTTCGAAACGGATAGGTCTGAGAAAGTGGGAAAACAGATCCAGGTTAGTGTTCTGCACTGTCCAGATAGTGGACCAAGCCAAGTGGAAGAACCCAATGGCAAGAGCAGACCTTCTGACGCTCTGCATTGTGGCTTCCTATTTAAAAGTAAACCTGTACCTCTGGTGTTCAAGTCTTCTGCTGTTTGTTTGGGTTCCTATGGACTGTTGTGCCTGTATTTATGACTGTATTTAAAGCAGAGAAATCAACGTAATTGGATATCTGAATTTGTGGATGATTTTTATCTCTCAGGAGCAAGCAATCAGTGTATTATTTGGTAGCTGGACCTTTCCAATGGTTCATTTGTCCTAGTATGATGCATTGTAACCCCTCCTTTGTCTTTAGAAATTGTGAAAAATGATGTATAATTCAACATGCAAACACGTAAAGGAGGAATTGCAATTCCCTGTTGTGGCTACATGGCCTGAGATAAAATGTACTTTTCCTCATCTTTTGGCGAGATCTTCGATGTCATGAACATCTTATTTATTGCCATGGGAACAATGACTGTGACACTACATCTTCGTAGATTATACCTTTAAGGAAGAATTCTTGGGATTGAAACAGGAATAACTCTGGGGGAAGGGAGAGACTAACATTGCAAGGTATAAATAATTTTAAACAACATTGTAGTTGAAGAAAAGAGAGTTAGTTGAATGATGAGTAAGAAAAAACATCAGTATAAACAGGAGGGGGAATAACTGTTTACAAGGATGGATAATGATAGGACAAGGGGGAATGGTTTTAAACTGAGACAGGGGAGGTTTAGGTTAGATATTAGGAGGAAGTTTTTCACACAGAGGGTGGTGAGGCACTGGAACAGGTTGCCCAAGGAGGCTGTGGATGCCCCATCCCTGCAGGCATTCAAGGCCAGGCTGGATGTGGCTCTGGGCAGCCTGGTTTGCTGGTTGGCGACCCTGCATATAACAGGGGGTCGAAACCAGATGATCACTGTGGTCCTTTTCAACCCAGGCCATCAGTTTATCATCAGTTTATCAGTTTATGCATCAGTGCATAATTAGGGCTATTATACAGTTCATTTTTATCTTTAGGAATAAAGAATGAGTCTCAGTGTGAGGGGGCTTTATTTTCTCTGGGTGTAAACTTCAGTTAATATTTGCTGTACTAATGAGGGCTGCTTTGCTGTGACTGATCTTGTGTAATTTGGAACTTCTTGTAGATCAGCTTAAAATAAGAAACCTGAATTCTACACATTTCCCATCCTTGCAAATAAGTTCTTTATATGAAGAAATTTATTTAACCTGCACTGCGTAACATTTTGATTTAGCAGTGTTAATCTGTAGCAGTAGCTCAACAAAAATTTTTTGTTGCAGTATTCCAAGGAAAAATAAACAATATATATATATTGTTTTATTTTTTGCATAAAATGGTAATAATTTGGTGATGCAAGCTCCAGACCTTGCTATGTGTATCTGTATTAAATGTCCTGCAGGTAGTGAAAATAACAAAAACAGCCTCATTGTTGGTCCAGTGTTTCCATACAATCCATCTATAGTAAAATGACATGAAGAGAAAAGAAATGTGAGAATGTAATTATATAACATTTAAGAATAATCTGGCATGGCATCTGAAATTGATTTCTGCCTTCATCTCCTAAATTGTTTTTAATTAAAGAAACAAAAGATTTATTTTTAAAATGGATAGATATGTCTTTTTCACAAGTACTGGAAAACATTAAGAAGGTTACCAGAGATGTTTCTGGAATTTAATTTCCTCCTTTTAACATCTTCTGTTCCATTGTTTTCCTTCTGCTTCTGATCGTACATGAATGGTTTGTGCAGGCCAGCAATGCTTGCTTGAGTTATATACAAATAAGTCAGTTTCTTGCCCACTGTGCCCCAATACTGTATTCATACATTGTCCAAGCTCTGCTCTGAAGCTGTAATTATTTCTGTTATCCTCCTATGCTGTTTCTTTTAATTATTTTAAATCATGCCCATCTGTAGGGCACTTGGAAATATCTTGAGGTTCCTTTGAGGTGATGGGCTGGCATTCTAATTTTATGATGCAGTTACAAGTTTAGAGCAAAAATGTCCCTTAATACGTGTGGCATCATTTTTGGTATGTTAATCAGTGTTGGGGACCTGTGCTTTGGAGATAGAAATATTCACAGTTACGTGGTATCGGTGCTTCCAGAAGTTGTGGTGGAGATTGTCCCTAGAAGCTGAGGAAAATAAAAGTTGAAAATGATTCTTCAGCTGACTTTTGCACAGCATTTTGCTCATGGTCAGGGGAGAAAGGAAGAGATTCTAATAATGACTGCCTTTTACTCCAATTGCTAACACTCTTCTTAGACTTATGGTGCACTAACCAGGGCAAGAGCTTGAGCACAGGAAGTGATGAACCCTCAGCCTTTGTCACTGTACGGTTTATGTTCGTGTAAGATTGAATCATCTCCTGGGAATGAATGAGCCAGTGGCTTGTGGGAGGGAATCCTATTAAGAAGTGATAAAATCTGGACTGTTAATTTTTTGCTTCATCATTTTTTTGCTTTTTTGTTTTCTCAGTTTTATTTTTGTTCTCTCTTTAAAGCACAATAGTTTAGGTTTAAAAAACAAACAAACAAACACCAACAAACAAAGAACAAAAAAATCATGGTTCATAATGACTGCCAGGAGCAAATCTTGCTAACTGACAGGCCAGATCTTTGCCACTGTTATTCATTTTTAATAAAAAGTTGAATCCCGGCTCAGGTTTTCCAAGTGTGACATCTGCATCAAACACTTCCAACTTGGGATATTCTATGAAATCTACAACAAGTTAAGAGATATGATAGATATTGAATAGCCTGAATAGTCTTGCTGATTCCTTCTTCTTCAGGTTAATCATCTTATCGCCATTGATCATAGAACCATAGAATGGCTTGGGTTGGAAGGGACTTCAAAAGTCATTTAGTTCCACCTCCCTGTCATAGGCAACCACTACATCAGGCACCAGGCCAAGTTGCCCAGGGCCCCATCCAGCCTGGCATGAACATCTCCAGGGGTGGGGTAAATGAGGATCATTAGAAAATCATGGAGCTGTGACATTAAAAAAAAAAAAAAAATCTTAATTCTCTTTATGGAAAAATACTGTATTTCTCTCTCTGACCCTGAAGACTTTCAATTAGAGATTGAATAAGGCCTTGGGCAACCTGATCGAGCTGTGGTGCCTTTGTTCACTTGACTAGATGGCCTTCAGACTTCCCTTCCAACTCAAATGATCCTGTGATTCTATATGGAAACTACGATCAAAAATAGAGAGGACCTCCTGCAGATATAAAGCAATAAATCTCCATCCAAGCAGCTCCTCAATTGCAGCTGGGGTACATCCCCCTTTTTCCTGCATGGCTTGGTGCAGGAGCACTGTGGGCACACAGCCACCTACCAGTTTTTCTGGAGGACCTGGCAGATCACTTTTCTGTTGAGTGTGCTTGAGTACATCAGTCCTGTGTATATTGGGAAGTGACCTCTAACCGTGCATGAGGCTGTTTATCTGGGTAAGCTGCCTGATTGCTGTGTCTTTGGGGAAATGTGCATATATGTCATAAGTTAAAACTCTCTATTTCCTAGCTCTCTTGTCCATAAAGACACCAGTAACAAAATAATTGCTTTCAAACCTCCCGCTGTGCTGCCACAGCTATTGCTGATGAGCAGATTTGATGCCCGATGAGCCTGTGGGAGGGATGCATTCCAGATTGTTGCTCTTCCTGCAAGCTGTTCACTGCAGTAGGCAGAAGTCACGTAGTTTGCATGTGTGCAGAGTGGCTGCAGCTAAACTTTTAAGCAGATAAAGAAGCACTTGTGATGACTGGCAGGTAAAAAGCAGCACTCTTTTGTGTGATGTTGCAGTTTGTACTGTTTCTTTATTGTCATCTGGAGCAGCTTTGAGTCTTAACGAGGGCAATAAACATAGTTTGCTATGGATTAACAGTCAGTCACTGAGATGCTCTCTAACTGATCTGGATTCTCTTCTGATTCTAACAATTGGATCTTGATTCTTAAGTAGAGCAACCTCTGATACTGATGTGAAAGCCAAACTGCTTTTCTCCCAAACACAGGGAATTAGAAAAGAGTAGCAATGTATTTTCCTTCTTGCTTTAGCGGCTTATTAGGGACTTGTGCATGATACAGTCCCTTTATTCTAAAGGAGCTTTTCCCCACATTGATCATCGCAGTGTAGAAGAGGGGGAAATTTGTCAGTGATTCAGAAATCCTTTAGCTGTATGTGTGTCATTGACCAGACTCATTGAATATCTAAACACCTTTATTCCCTGTAACAGCTGGACAAATGAACTTTTAAAAAAATCTTGCTGTAACTTCATTCCATGATAAGTACTGTAACTTTTCTCTTTTGGAATTTGCTCAGAGAGGCACTTTTTTTTTTTTTTTCTTTTTTTTCCCCCAAATCTTTTATTAGAAAACTGGAGAGCATTGTCCTCAAATTCTTGTGACCTGGGAGTTTTTTCATTGGCATGTAGGTGCTTTTGTCCTTACCTCCTGTCACGAACCCAGCACAAAGTCTACTTTTAATGTGTTGATTAAAGTCTCTATTACAGCAATTTCAACATATTTCCACCATTCTGTTTAAATTTGCTCTTGTTGGTGAGCAGATTTCTACTCTGGAAGTGTACCCTTGCTCTTCAGAAGTCTCACAAACTGTGCAACCTGCTGTCTCATTCCAGCTGATGTTTCTTCTCTTTAATACTGCTGGAAGGGAGCATGAGGAGAACTCTGCATGAGAAGCCTCTGTGTTTAAATATATACCTTTAAGTTCACTGCACAGCTTTCCTTTTGTCAAGCTGATACTGAGAGTATGCATGTGAAAATATTTTCTCTCTAGCTCAAATACTGTACTGACATGAAGGTAACATATGCTAAAACTACCAAGAAAATGGTGTCCAGAGAAGTATACAATGGATGTCCTTCCTATGCCTAAAACTTGCTTTACTGATGATCCGAGTTCCTTTTCTCTTTCTGTTTACTGGATCTTAGTGTCAAAAGTTGGTTGTTCTTCCATGTTTTTATTCTGTTCTGATGTTAATTGAGTTCCAAAGAATAATTCCAATAAGTTGGAACAACTTGATGCACTTCAGAAATGCATCTTATTAATTTATGCAGAGCAATACGTATTTTTCTGATATATGAAAGCATTTGATTGATGATGTTTCTCCATTATCCTTGTATTCTTACCTCCTTTTATTCCTCATTTCCACTGTTACAGGAATCAGCATTGGTGGTCACCTTGAACAGACATCTAACGTTTTGAGCTGCTCGTTCACATCACATGTGAAAAATAATAAAATCCTTTGCTAGATTTACATAGCTATAATGGGATTGGATTCATTTTTTCCTTTTATAACGTCTTTCTTCTCTATCAGAGAGACATTAAAAAGAAGAACTAGTGGTGATGACTGTACAAGCCCAATTGCAAGTAATCCTGGCTCAAAAAGAGACGCCCACTTCTGCGCAGTCTGCAGTGACTATGCTTCAGGATATCACTATGGAGTCTGGTCATGTGAAGGCTGTAAAGCATTCTTTAAAAGAAGTATTCAAGGTAGGAAAATCAGCTTTTGATGATTTAGCTTAAGTAAGTTTTTCACGTGATCAGAGACTGCAGCACTTGCTCTGGTAGTGTGTTGATCTAAAATTCTGGTGTGCAGTGTTGCATGTGTAAGTAGAACAATGTATGATTTGATTGCTTTGTCTTTTGGTTCTTCTGTCGTAAACATCTGGAGGCATTACAAAGCAAGAAACTCATTTATTTAGAGAGGAGGTGCAGCATGGAAGGGGACTCATGGTAGAGTCCTGCAGCAATAGCCTCAATGGGGTGGCACTGCACACCTATGAATCTGATTTCATTTTGTGTTGCAAAGTAGATGCAGTAATTGTGAATTTGTTATAGCAGATGCAGAGGAGGAACTTCTCACAAGCAATGTTTTTGGATGAGTTATTCCTAACAAGAGTATATTGTTTGGAACTGTTGAGTCATAGCATATAATATCTACATCCATGGTTGCTATCACAGGCTACAGGTAGTGACTTATGCACTGTATTCCAGCTTAATATCACATCTGCTTCTTATCCTTGGCTCTGGTCATCGTGTCCGGAGGCCTCGTGGAACTTAATCCAATTGACATTGAATGCTAACTACAGATACCAACACAGAAACTTCTATTGTTCTTTGTTCTGTAATGTTCTCTTCCTTTGCTGCATGAGGCCTTCAGCAGTCTTGAGGTATTTTCTTTTGGCTCAATGTGGCAGAGTTGGTGTCACCATTAGAATCAAACTTAAAACTAGTTTGCCCTTCTGATTTATTGTGCAAGTTCGGTGCAGGTGAATAACAATTTCTACAAATTGGTGAAAGTTCTTTTGACTTTTTAAAATAATTGAAGATAACTTTGTCTCCAGTTATCACAAATGGAGACTGAATTTAGTCTCAAAGTGTTTTCTGTCAGGAAAATTATTTGCCTGCTCTGTGCTGATCACACGTGCTGTGGTCATGAACAAGTTGCCTACTGTGTTCTTTTGTACACCTTAATGTACCCTGTCAGGTAATATTTGTTTGTGATTCAAATAAGTGAAAGTTCCTGGCATAAAACGCTATTGAGTGTTCAGTTGCAACCACTGTTATGAAGGATGCTGCTTATAAAAATCAAAAAGTTATGGGCCACCAGGAGCCAAGCATTTAGCTTTCCGCCTATGGGAGGCCCAGAATTGAAATTAAACGTTATGACTGGGCAATGTGTGTGGTCTCCTGCTTGTCTACGTTGGTCGTATATCAGTTCCGTATCTGTGAACATCTGCCTGCAAAATAAACAATCTCAAGGACATGGGAGTTTTAAACCACTTTATGCTCCTTTGGGCTTAGGTTATAGAGCAGCAGAGAGCTGCTTCTTCCTTTCCCCCTGTGTTGTGTGAAGAGTGACAAACAGTAATTTGTTTTTCAGTTGTATCCCAGATGGAAATGGGACAAACTGTAACCTGATCTCTTCTTTCTAAAACTCTGTCGGTTCAAAAATTCAAGGTTAAAATTATTTTCATTTTGCAAGGAAATGGTCACAATGGTTCAGTTAAATAATTACTCTTGGGGACATGAGCTCTTGGACTTGCTCATGAATCAAGGCAGAACACAAAACCAAACAAACAACCACCCTACTTGTAGTCTGCTTTATCTTTGTCTGATCCATTCTTAATGTTTAAAAAAAATAACTTAGAGAAACAACCTGAGAGAAAGGAAATTAAGAAATGTAAATTATTAAATATTTTTGTATTCTTTGGTGATGACTGTAAGAGAGGTCTACAGTTTTTGGCAACAGGTAGTTTGGTTGCATTTAGATCAACTTAATAGTCAGGTCTAGCTTATAGGAATAAACTTTTGAACCAGTTTGTTGGTTAATTAGATACAACAGTGTAAAGAGATTCTGAGGAGAAGTGGGGTGAGACCTGAAGTAGGGAAGACAGCTAGTGCAAATCAAATAAAAACTTGTTGATAATATATGAAAGTTATACCTTGTGCTTCTGATTTTCTTTGTTTTGTACACTATGCATTAATTTGTGCCAGCCTTCTTTCTCAGGCTTTTAATTTCAAAATAACAACCATAACAATAACTTCCATCAGAGTCAGTTCTCCAAAGGCTTCTTCGTTCCTGGGAGTCACCAAGCCAGAGATTTCAGTAAATAGTGGTGTAGTTTACTTAAATCTTTGCAGACTGAGGTTGTGTGCACTGCTGTTTCCAAATGTGCTGAGGACAAATTCTGCTCTCTGCCATCTGTAGAAACCCAATATACAGCAAGGTGTTTTAGACTGGGAGCAAATTTCCACAAGAGTGTATGTCTCGTTTTCACTAATGTGTTGGTATTATAAGATGCTTGGTTGTCTAACAGTCAACAGAAAAAGCTGACCTTTCTAGTTGCATTTTAAAGCTATAGATTGATGTTTTCAGTACAGGACAAATATGTGATTTTGCATTGTTTAAATTAATGGAGCATAGATAAGAAATAGATGAGATGCTTAAAATCCCTGATTTGGGAAATAGCCAAGAGAGATTGGTGGGATGTTAAATTTTTCTCCTTTACTCTGCTGCAGGACATAATGATTACATCTGCCCAGCTACCAATCAATGCACGATAGACAAAAACAGGCGCAAAAGCTGCCAGGCATGCCGGCTACGGAAATGCTATGAAGTGGGAATGATGAAATGTGGTGAGTTCTGTGTGCCAGTGTTGCTTACTTGGAATTTGTTACCTTCAGTCAGTTCTGTACAGCTTCCCCCCTAACTGATCCCCAGAATTCTGAAAAGCCACGACAAGGCAAGGTTTAAGCAAGTTTTGTAGGTAGGAATGCACCAATTCTTAAAGCAGGAAGAGACTGAATTTTTCTGAATTTAACCTGTGGGAAGGAGCAGGGAGTAAATTAAATGCAGGAAACCGTTGTTCCTCTGCTGAGCTCTGTAAATGAAGCTAATTTGCATGCTATATTCTGCAGAATGGGAAGCAAGAATGCTTCTGCCTGAGCCTCAAGTCAAACTGAAATCCTTTCTAATGTGGGGATAAATGAGCCTGTACTATGCCCTGTGGCTGAATGCAATGCAACAGCAGCAGTGCTGTATCTGAGCAGTAGTAAATTAGCCTGGTATCCTGCTTCCAGTGGTGACAAAGAATGAAGTGGGAGAAATAGGAGCGAGACTAATATCTATATGAAGCTACTGCAGAAAACTCTGAGCTTCCAAAACCTGTCAGTTTGGGAGTTAGTGATCTAGAAGTTTTTTTATTAGGTCTCAGTGGGTTAATCAAATGATGACTTGAGAAGTGTCCCCATTTTTAATGCTGTAAGGTCTTGGCGTCTAGTACACCCCATAGCAAGAAATTCTTCAGCTTGACTGCATGTCTTGTAAAGAACAAGTCATCAATTTTCCAGGCTCTTTCTGTGGGCTTTATCTGCTTAAAGAGAGTTAGGGGGTACTTCTCTTTTTTTTTTTTTTTTTTTTTGTTGTTGTTGTTGTTGTTGTTGTTGTTGTTGTTGCTTCTCATATGGGCTTCTTTCATATGATAGCTTTCTGTTCTTTCATCAAAAGGGGCAGTGAACTATCCCTGTTTATCATTGCACTATCCAGCCTTTTGTTTTACTCCCCTCTACTTACTACTGTTTCTTCACTATTAGAGTTTTAAAGGTTACTTTTAAGAAGAAAATCCCTTAGAAGTTCAATATCTAAAGTACTTTTTATAGTTGAGGTTTATTGTTCTTACAGTTTTCCCAGTGTTCGTGATAGAAGTAGGCTGGGAAAACGTTACTTACGAGCACTAGCATGGAAGGGAGAAGGTCATTGCACCTGGTCCTTGGTGATTAGCAGGCATGCATATCATTTCATCTCATTTAATTCAGATACCTATTTCTATTTCAAAGCTCGCCTCTGTTTTTACCCTCCCACTGCTTTGATCTGAAGGCTGTTTGCAGAATATGATTCCTTTCATTAGGAACATTCTTCTGAATTCCATCCAGCATTTATTGCCAAATATTTAATGCCCATTCATTCTTGTGGCTTAGAGGCTCTTTTCTTTATTGTTAACGCTCTGGTTGTGTTTATGGACTACAGTCATATCCCCTCACAGCTTTTGTTTTATTAGACTATATAAACCAAGCAATCTCCTTGTAAAACAGTCTACTGAAAGATTTGGGAAATTAGGGTAGCTTGTCCCGTAATAATCTCCAGGATGGAGTAATGCATTTTGCACTTTGATGACAAGAATTGTAGAAGGTATTCCTGTGAGCTTTCCTCACTGTAGTAGCATTAAAACATGGCTATGTCTGCAGGAGGTATTCTCTGCATGCAGCCCAGGATGCTGTTTGCCTTTTCCATGGCTGTATCACACTCACACTTTGTAATCATTCAGTGAGCTGTTATGATTGTAGCCTCCTTGTTCAGTTCTAGCTGATAACTCCCACCTTAGAGCCACAATTTCAACTGTTCCTTGTGTTGTGTTTGTACTCCTGAGGTACATATAATGTCTATTACTCAAGGCAGCTAGTTCGTTCTTATTTTCTTCTGCACTGATGTATCTCACCTTTATTGGTGTTTTTTGTTCATGTGGTCTTAGCTACTTGTGCTGACTGGTATCCAGAAAGGAAAACCTTCTTGCAAAAAGGATGCTGTTTGAAACTTTACTTTCTGAATAGCCCTGCTGTCTCCTATTCAACTGTATGACTGAGAATTTTACTGTGTCTCTCTGACAGTGTTTGCTATCAAGGCTCAGCTTTGGAGGGCTTCTGAAAAAGTTGATTCTACTGTGGCATAAGGTGAAACTCCACAGTACATCCTTCAAATGAATCCTTTTATCCTAATTGTCCAGGAAGTCTTGACTTGTGATTAGACCTCACAGGCACTAAGGTGTTACAAGTAACGTAATGAATGTTTGTGCAACATTAATGACACTTCAAAACTCATTTATGTACAGATAAATTAGACATGTCTATTATATCTGATACGTTAAATATAATATGTAATGGGAGTCATATTTTAAAAATAATTTGTTTTTTAAATTAGTTTCAGTAGCATTGAAACTTGAGAGTTTTTAGAATTTAATTTGAGGACCTTAAGAGGTTAATTAAAAAAGAAAAAAAAATCTAAAAATTGCATGCCTGATAATTGAAGCTGAATTGTCTGAGTTCCCTGATGAGTTAAGAGACACCTATGTGTAAAGCTGATGCACAGGGACATGGTCCCATTATTTGAGAGATGTTTAAACCAGACAGATTCAAAAAGTGTATTTCTTGCATGAAATACAAATGACATTTCCTGCAGATCAGAGTGATTATCTTTCTTTTTTTATTCTTTTTAAAGCAATGCTTTATTACCACTTTTATGCCATAGAAAGCCATGAAAGTGTATGCTTTCTTTTTAATGAAGACTTTTCCCCAGTCTCTGTGCTTTTCCCAGGTCACTTAGTGAATGCATTGGTTCACTTCTGCTAAAACACTGGGTAGGGTGGAATGGTTTGTCAGTGCATATTTGCTTGGGGAGACTTGTTATCCAGCAGAAGTGGCAGAAGAGCCTCAATTACCACTTTGCTGGTTCATGAAAGCTCATCATAAACTCTACACTGTTTGCATCAAACATTTCAATCCTAATTTTGTGTAGTATAAATAGCCACCTTGAGGAAAATGTGTTTGTGTGCATATTGTATATGTTTCTGTGCGTAAATGTACTTGGATAGTATATGTCATTTTCAATACAGTAGGAGAAAGTAGGAAAGTTTTACTTTGGAATTTCCTGGCTTGAAGACTCTTGAATGTCATTGCATTTGTAAATGTAGAGAAGTCAACCTGACAATCCACAGGTATTTCAGTGGAGCCTGGCTTGGAGGTACTAAGGTGATAATGGATTTTCTAACAGAATATTTATCATACTGCTGGAAGCACAGGGTCTTAGACACCGTATCTGTAAATTTCTCTGTAGGAAGCCTGTGTTGCCTACTGTTCTAATCAAGTCAACTGCTGCTAAATTTTGGTATTAGGAGTGATAGTAGAAAACTAATTGCAAAGAAAGCACCGTCATCAGGAACAAGGAAAACAGAATTATTTCAAATATGTTAAAAGTAGATTCTGCCCTGAAGACTTGAATAAAATAGATCATGATAAAAGAGATCTGCTCTTACAACTTTCTGATGTTTACCTAGGGATCCTGAAATGGTCTGAGCTGTTTGTCCAAGGTATAGAAAGAAGAGGGGAGTTGCTTTATCATTTCCTTATAGCTACCTTCTGTGCAAATATGCTTGTGCTTTTTCTTTTTTTGCTTCCCGAGGCTAAAATAAACATTCTTCGGTAAGAAGTCTTCAGTATCCTGTTGTTCCTGTTAGAATAGACTTAATTCTTCCAAAGACAGAGCTCTGTTTTGCCCCTCCCTGACAAAATGAAAACACTGCTGATTCATATTTAAAGGTGATGGCTAGATACTGCCTCTGAGTACTGGTACTACTCCTTCAGTTTGCAGAAAGATTTCTGTGTGATATGAATTTTGAAGTTCAGAACTTAGCTCTCTTTTTCTCCTCTATTTGCCTGCTGCTTGAAGATTCTGGATAGCTCTACATAGCACAGATATTGTGAACTATTTTTCACATAGAAAGTACACAGAGAAAAATGTTTCATGGCATTCTCTGGACATGAAATGTACTAATTGTAGTTCAGCTGTTTTGGAAATTACAGTAATTTTATCCCTTGTTCTCATATGTTCTTGGTTGATTGCAGCATCTTTGTCAGGCCTGCTCTATGAACACAGACATACTCACCAGAACATTTGCATTTCCTTTCAAAGGTTACTTGAGTGGTAATGATTTGCTAATAAAAACTTGCTCTCAAACATTACTGAACTGACTAGTTACATAAGCAGTTGTCAGGGACCAAAATCGACGTTAAGAGCAATGTGCAGTCATATACTGCCAGTAATTCCTGTTTGCTGTTTGTCCATAGGTGAGTGAAAAAATTCTAAGGATTTAACATAGAATATCCCAAGTCAGAGGGGATCTTTAAGGATCATGAAGTTCAACCTCTGACTGCACACAGGACCACTCAAAATTCAAACCCTACGTCTGAGAGCATTGTACAAACTCTTCTTGAGCTCCTGCAGCTGGGGGCCGCCCTCTGCCCTAGAGAGCCAATGCTGTGACCACTGCTCTCTGGTGAAGAACTTTTTTCCGTTATCCAGCCTGACCCTCCACTACCTATGAGGAGCTGTAGGCCACCGTGGGATCTCCCCTTGGCTACCTCTGCTCTGAGCTGAGCAAAACCAGTGACTTCTTTCAGTGTGTTTTATTTTTTACATTCTTGCAATCATTCACCCATGTGGCTTATGGTGCTGTAACTCGAGGTCTTGCCCTTAGTCTAGTGTTCTCAGCTGAATACAGCTATTTTCTCGTGCAAATAATTGCTCTAAATAAGAGGAGTGCAGTAGGAAGAATGAGAGATTTGATCATCTTATGCACTTTTCCAATTTCCTGAATTACCTTTATTTGAATGAATATTGGCTATTAAGTGTATTTAGGGAATTTGTGGCAATTTCAGTAATAGTCTCTAATCTTGGGAACTGTAAGTGTTTTAATGCTGTGCCTTTACACGGGTTGATTCATATCTCTATATACTGAAGCTAAACATTAAGGTTGTCTATAATTATTTCTTACCTACAGATTTATCAGCACACATGCCTTTTGGATGCTAATAAATGTACAGGCAAAATTTTTCAGTCCTGTCTAAGCCTCACATTTAAATAGGAAGCACAGAAATTCCTTTAGATTGCTTAAATGTTGGATTAATGGGAAAATCTGCTGCTACTTAGTGTGTCCATTGGCTGGCAAGCTTAAATGTTGCTTTCTTAGCTGTGTGATCTTACAGCTCTCTTTTTTTTCCCACATATCAGCTGAGTAAATTTAAATGTGGACATAAATAATTTTTCCTTTAGTTATGGATGAGTTGTGTTTTATGCACACTACTCAGCAAATCAGACTTGGTCTGCTTTGAAAATATGCGGCCATTAAAATTACACACAAAAAATTAAGTATTCTGTTCCCTTCTCGTTTTGTTTTCTACTTTACACATCCCTTTTATTTATCTATTTCCTTTTCAAAAGATCTGAGGACAGCTGATCAGAGCATATTGAGTCCCATAGCACTGGGTTCACTTCAGTAGCAGAAACTGAACTAGGATCGATCAGTAGGTTGCAAGTTCTTGCCTGAGCTCATGTTGCTTGTGACACGTGTCCAATTTGCTGGAATTTCTTCCTCGTTGTATCACCAGACATCTCCTTATCTCACTAACTCCCCCTTCAGCCAGTAGCTTTTCTGGTCCCTTCAGCCACCTGCACTACTCTTCCATACATTTAATTCAAAAGCTGCTCTTCTTCATGCATTTTCTATTTGGGGGATTCACATTTCCAACAGGTATTGAAGGATGCATGTCATGGAGCAGCTATTATTTTCTAATAGCCCAAGAAAATTCATTCTCCACAGTGTGTCTCCCTACGGCTTTTAGTCTGCTCTGTTTTTCTTGTTCTGTCCTTCAAGGTGTCCATTTTCAAAACACTTCAGCAAAGCACTGCTTCCTGCTTTTGCTCAGCTCTCTCCTGGTAATTAAGCTCTCTACCAAGCACATTTGTATGGAAGTCAGAGCCATGGATTTCTCTAAACAGAGCACTCCAATACTTTGGTGCTTCTCTGTTCTGCCTCCAGTTGTACTTTTGTTTCAGTTTTCAACATTGCTGACCTTTCCTCTTTGTCCTTCCTGAAGGAAAATATTCACATACTTTCTGTGCATGGTGTGACTTCAGAACAGTCTGCAGGCCCTGTGCTATTGGATTGTTTTTCTGCAGCTGATGAAGTGCATTCAGACTTTCCTCTTGACTTTTGTGTCAGCCCAAAAATGAGGCCTAGCAAAGCTCGCTTCATCTTCCATGCACGTGTGTAGAAATTAGTCTCAACCTCGCTGTCCTTTGACTTTCTTAGGAAAAAAAGATTTTTGTCCAGAAAGATGAAGAAACTGATTGTGACTTCTGTGGTTTTACAGGTAAAACTTTTTTTTTTTTTTTTGAGTGTCATAATCAAGGTTGATTTTGTAAATGTACCATGAGAGAATGCCTTCACTTCTCTCTGCTGGTATGTTGTCCTTCCCTGCTCAGCTTCTTGGGCAGCATCTAACTAGATTTCATTCAGCTAAACTAGGACTGTGTGGTTCTGCAAATCCCTGATTATTTTCCGTCAATACAGTGGTTGTGTAAATGTCCTGCCAGTACTCAAGCTATTTCATTCCATTCCTTCTCAGGATACAAAACCATCCTTTCCTACAATGAATTTAGTATTCAGACCTGTACTTCCAACTGGTTCCAAACTCAGCTCCAAACGCTTCATTCCTCTTGGGTTCCTTCATGCCAGAGAACTGTTCAATGAACCTGCTTTGCCTGTTCGTCTTCTCCAACCTCATCTGCTTCCAGGCAGTGGGCATTCTCTAATATTCAGACCTTCTTTACAATTCCCTTTTACATCTGATGCGGTTTACTGAATAGGCAGCAAGTGAGGATTGTGACAATGTGTAGTTGAAAGAGTTGAAAGTTCCGCACCTGTAAAGTCAAGGCAGAGTTGTTAGTCCTTAGCCAGTCCTTTTGATGCCTTCAGGTTATACCTGACTGGCTTCTACATCTCGTCCTTCTCACAGGTTGACTCAAATGGTGCTTGACAGCTGCTGAAGACAAGACAGGATTGTGATCTGACAAGCTACATCATCTGGGAACATCCACCACTGAGAGTCTGCATTCACCCAACATCTAATTTAGCAATAGCATCTGAGATTGGGTTTTTGCGTGTGTGTGCCTTTACCCCTTTTTGTTTGTTTTGTTGCTAATGTATGAACTCTTACTTCGCCAAATGAAACTCAGAGCCAGAATTGCATTGCCTCATTAGAATTCAGACAACTCATGTTCTATGTAACTGATAGAGGTGGATGAGGAATAAGAATTGCTGAGTCCAGTAGCTTGATAGAAGGGAAACTGCAACATAATTGCATCTGCTAACAGCAAACATGAGCAGCTGTTGCCATTAACAAAAACTCAATACCTATATGCACAGCCAGCCATGCTAATTGGCAGACACCACATCTAGCACTTATGCAGATACAAGTAGTGGCACATATATGGTTTTATACAATATGTATCCCTCCAGTATCTGGGTTTAAACACTCTGTCAGGCAGCTGGCCCCTACTTCCCTCGGCCACAGGAGCCAGAGTCTGATACTCAGACCTTCTCTCATCCATCAGTGTTATCAGAACCTGACTTTTGGTTTCTGTGTTCTTCTTTCACACATTCTCTTGCTGATATGCACGCGTGCAAATGGGTCTCTGGCAACTGGTCCAAACCCATGGCCCTACTGGTAGGTGACAAACAGATCCTCTGGTATGGCTAGAGGTTGCGTTGCAACTTCTGGTTACTACAAGGGAACTGAAAAGCTTTTCCTCCTAACTTATCTGGTGGGTGTCATTTCCAGACCACAGCCTGGTCATTGTTCTTTGATAGCCATGATAGTCAGGGTGCTGGTTGGAACTTTTGGGATTTTTCCACCTTCATTATTCATCTACTCCTTTTTCTTTGTGTACTTTATGAAGTATATCAAGAATAATAAAGAAGAACCACATTTGTGGCTATGATGTTGCTTTGGACAGCACACCAGAAAGACTTAATTAGCTGTAGTATTGTCAAGATAGCAGCGCTACATGAAAGGATGCTTTTGTGTATTTTATGGGACTGAAACAAAATGAGGCAACCTATTACTGTGCTTTTAGACTCCACGGTTTCTGCTAATAGAATAATAAATGTTGATCTGATATAGATTTATGCTACCACTGGCATCTATGTATATATGAAAATTCCGTGTTTGAATATCATGTCAGTAAAGGCGTTGGCTACCACAAAAAAATTGTCTTTTGAAAGATTTAGAGGAAGATTTCTCACTGACATTGAAAATATTAACTGCTGGAGGATTCAAGCCTATGAATCTGTTTAGTAATTTAATATTTTTAAATAACTTGATTTTTTTTTTTTTTATGTGATGAAAACCTGCATGTTAGTTACTGCCAAAGTTTATTTACATATTATTATATATTTATTTATAATTTTATTTATAAATAAATAAAAAAGGTGTGAGGGAAACAGACATCATAGCTGAGCACTGCATCAAATGCCCACTGTTTTTAAACCCCTTCGCCTCCTTCCATGGCTGCTCTTCGAGAATAGATTACAGTGATCCCACCAATAATACTGATAGGCAGAGAATGTTTGATGTTGTCTTAATGAACAGTAACAAATCATTCTGATAATTTAAGGCCTTTGTAAGAGGACTGCTCTGTGAAAGAGAAATAGTAATCTGCACGTGTAACTCCAAAGTGGGGGCTTGCTCTGTCTAGTTGTGGATACCCTAATTCATTTGGGGAAACTCCTGCTGGCTTAAGTGGACGTATGGAGAAGACAGGTTACCTTTCAGTAGGTCCCTAGCTGAGCACCCAGCTGGCAGCGAGCACCAGCTGTGCTTCTGGCTGAGATATTTATTCATGGCTCATACTTTAGAATTTTTTTTCCCAATTAACATTTAAAAGCAAATTTATTAGCAGAATTAAACAGCTTTCATTAGTTGCATTTAAAGACTAATCTCTTTCTGATGTCAATGGGATTTTCCCAGGGACTTGTAAAGTAGATTCAAAAGTAAACATTGTTTTCAGTTATTTTTTCTTCAGGAGGCTCCTCTGAAGCGAAGTTGGGTCAGTGCTGAAGCTCTAGAAATTCTGAAACTTGATGTTTAATGTTAGAACATCCACTGTTGAGGGGCTTTTCCCCCCCTCCCCAAACATGTGGTTTTGTACAATGTAACAGCGAGAGCAACGTATTTCAATGCAATTGTGTACCTCTTGTGTCAGGCTCAAGAAGAGAACGCTGTGGGTATCGAATCCTGCGCCGCCATCGTAATTCGGAGGATTGCATGGGCAAAACCAGGAAGTACAATGAGGCTGCAACCCGTGTAAAAGAGATCCTCCTCAGCACAGTCAGTCCAGAACAGTTTGTTTTAACTCTGCTTGAAGCTGAGCCTCCCAATGTGTTGGTGAGTCGTCCTAGCAAGCCATTCACTGAGGCCTCCATGATGATGTCCCTGACAAAACTGGCAGACAAAGAGCTGGTTCACATGATTGGCTGGGCCAAAAAAATTCCTGGTAAGAATTTCAACCTCTTTTTTATCTATTTCATTTGATGCCTTAGTGGCATAGCGCTGTAAATGTGTAGTGTCTTATAGAAAGTCCTGTAGCAGTAATGGACAAATTGTTGCTCTCAGAACTTCACTTGGGAGCGTTTTGAATCAGAAGACAGCCTTGCCCATAATTTGATATCTGTTGTTAGCCAAGTACTTGTTCAGGTTGCTAAAAAGCATAGTTGATGTTACATGTTATTTTTATCTCACCAGCTTTAAATGCCAGGTTAATCTGATTAAGTTCATTAAAATGTGTAGACTGCTATTGGAAAAAACAAAACAAAAGAAAAAAAACAACACAAATGGTTTCCTTGAAATCTAATAAAGGCTTTGTATTGAAGTTGATGAAAATTGCTTTGTAGCCAAGAACTGAGTCTCCACAACTGCTTCAGCTGACATAATTGGTACATGAGAGAATCAGATTAAGAGGTACATTGTATTGATGTCAGAATTATTGTGTTTCCCTTTAAACCAAAAATTAACATGGTTTGGGCTGTTGGTCATGCAAAGAGCATTCACTGACTTACAATTACATGTGTTGCCTTGAATGTAACTGCATCCACGGATGTGGATTCTTCTTTAACTTCATATATGATGCTCTGCTGGAAGTGAGCCCTACAGCTGCATGTACCTTGCACACCTGATGTGTTCTGCATTGCACCTAGCAGTCCTAAGCCTTGTCCATTGACACTGGTTACTTTTAGCTTGTCTTCAATGCATGTCAGTAGTAAAACCTTTTTCTTGGCAGAAAGAGAATTGTATGAAGAAAACCTGTTGAGGCGATCAAAGTCCTTCAGAACAGCTCCTGGGAATGTTTACACTTTATCACGTGTGTTTGTTTTTTGTGATCATCCATGTTGCACAGAACAGAAATAAATGCTATTTTAGAAAATTGCCCAAAACAGATGTGAAATGCAGTATGTTCCCAGTTACAAATAACATCACAGTATAACGTGGCTTTTACAACATCTTCTTGAATGTGGATTTATTTCTTCCTTTTAAGTAAATAAGGTGATGAAGCTCAGCCCATAGGATTTCAGTTGGCAAATTCTTCCCTGAAGAATCCATGAAAAAAAAAAAAAATTTGTTGACTAATGGTCCAGTGAGCACTAATTTTACAATACTTTTAATATATTTCTCTTCTAAATTAGTAGATGGATGTTACTTTGATGGCCATCTTTAAGTAAAAGTAAATCTTTTTATTCTTTTCTTCATATCTTAGTGCTAAATGTGCTATATTCTGATAGAGGTTTGTCTGAAGAGGAAATCTAAATCTGTTTTTTTCCTTTACTAAATTTTTAATTTTTAATGACCTTTTATTACGAGTCTCACTCTGTGAGTATATTTTTGGTATAGAGTCAGCTTGTTGGATTGAATCTTTTTGTTGCTCATAAAAGTAGAAGACAACACCTGGATTATTATTTTCTTTTCTCATGACTTCCAATGATTTTAATTCAATGTTATCAGTGGGTATAACATAGCTTCTATAATTGCCTTTGACTCGGTTGACCTAGTTTAACAGAGCTGAAGGGAGCTCATGGCTGTGCTCACATGGCTGAAAGATGGAACGTTGTCATGATGTTGAAGTTTGGATTCATTATGCGACATAGTTGCTGGCCAGAGTGATATCTTTGGGTAGCTATTGCATACCCAGAAGAAGAGGAGGGCAGGATATCTTAGTAATTTATATTGAAGGATGAGCTATAGAGCACAGAATTTAAAGGACAGGTTCTACAGCCACAGAAAAATGAGCAATTTAATGTACTCTGCAGCAAATGAGAAGGGACTTCAGATTCTGCAATAGAAGCTGTCATGCTAATGTGCCATCCTCAACCTTTAAACACGATTGCTAGAAAGAGGAAAGAAATAGTCCTTACAGCAGCACTTGATGTTCATAAATCATACTGTTGGTAATGCGTATTTAGCAGGCGCCATCTGGGATACATCTGAATCTCTAATTACCTTTGCACTGAAAACTGTGGCTTGGTCTGACAGCTCTACTGGGGTTTGTTTTTCAACCCCATAACTTGTTGTTTATGGTGTAGAAATCAGCGCACGCCTCTGTAACTGTTGATTTAAATAAACCCCTGAAATGTCTTTGAGCTGTTGTTTCCCAGGAAACCATCCCTGTTGGTTGATCCTATTCGCACTTCCATGGGTATTTTTCTAAAAGCACTTTTTACATTATGAGGGTTTGGGTCTGGCAGATAATCTGCCATTGGCTGTGAGCTCTGTAGTAAATTCTTTGACAGTGAAATCCATGAGGGAAAGCACAGCTCATGGGCTCCTGTTTGCTCCTCTTGGAGTAAAGGAGTAAGGCTCTCAGTGTGAAGGCAGCACTTTCAGTGATGCAACGAGGGAGTTTGCATTACCCAGCTTATGTTAACCTGGGGATGTCACCGACTGTCTTTCAGGGCAGCACTTTAATGAGCTGAAAATGTATGAAGTGTTTATATAAATTACTGGGAGCAGATTTAATGTCAGCGCAAATATGTGGCACACGTTTGAGATGTCAGAGAACTGTCCAAAAAGATCTGCAGGAAACCCATCTCCCATGGCCGAGCCCTGTGATGATTTTTTCACCATTTGGAGCAATAGTTACCAGCACATCTAAAGCTTCAGCATCTTTGTTAGCAGTCTTATCTGAAGTGTCTCTGCTTTGAAAACTTTGACCTGATCTTGGTTTAGAACAGAGGTGCAGACTGAGTGCAGAACTGATAGTCATTGTCTCTGCTTTTCTTGGGCTTGCCTTTTGGTGGTGGACACTTCTCCATTTTCTGTGTGGTTGTTGTTGTTAATTCTCTATTTTCCTTATGTGTGCATTTCTTATTTTTCTTTGTTTATAGAACCTTGAGTATCCCAAGTCGGAAGGGACCCCTGAGAACCATGGAGTTCAACACCTTCTCTAAGGCTTTGTATGTTATTGCAGAGGAAGGGGCAAGCAACAACAACTTCTTTCTTCTGGCTGTGTTGCCATATTATCTGGCTCTTGCTGGAAGTTCTAGAGATAACTAAATGCTAGAAAAGGGCTTATGCCCTATTGCATCAATTCTGTTCTTGCTTCTGGGGTGCCACGTATGAAGGCAATGCAGACATCACTACCATCATCAACTACCCTTGTCCTCCTTTTTTATTTTTTTTATTGATCAACACATGGCATTTACCAATAAGGTGATAACACAGAGCAACTGAGATGTAGCTTCTTTCATAGGTACCAAACAAACCCAGAAACGTGGCTGCCTCCTGAGGTCCAAACAAAACACCAAGAGACAACCCTGCAAACAGCAACCATATATGTTACGGGAAAAGAATGGTCTTTTTTTGTAGGCATCCTCCACAGTATAATGCAATACATCTTTAATAGATGTGAGTTTCCATAGTGGGTCCTTGGTACCTTCAAGAAGTCTCTGAGGCTGTCATCGAAGGAGGTGCCCACATGTAAGGCAGGTCTACGTTCACCTATGTGCCAATTGTGCTTCAGCACTGCTCTGATTTATTTATTTTCCCTGAAGACTTTCCAAGCAAGACTGGATAAGGCCCTGGGCAACCTGATTGAGCTGTCGTGTCACTGTTTGTCGCAGGAGGGTTGGACTATATGGCCCTCAGAGGTCCCTTCCAACTCTAAGGATTCTGTGGTTCTATCATTTTAAATGTTTTGTGGAAGATGTGTTAAAGATAATCACAACTATTTATGTTCCCATTTGAGATGGCAGCAGTACACTCCTGATACACCTCTTTTTCTGTCTTTCTTCACAACCCATGTTTCTTCTTTTTTCTTTTTCTTTTTCTTTCTTTTTCTTTTTCTTTTTCTTTTTTTTTTTTTTTTTTTTTTTTTTTTTTTTTTTTTTTTTTTTTTTTGTATATTAAAGACATTTTTTTGTAAACAAGTTGATTTATTTGATGCTGTTTTCATCATTTTAGGCTTTATTGATCTCAGCCTCTATGACCAAGTCAGGCTCTTGGAGAGCTGCTGGATGGAAGTTTTAATGATTGGTTTAATGTGGAGATCAATCGACCATCCTGGGAAATTAATTTTTGCCCCGGACCTTGTACTAGACAGGTAAGAGAAATCAACTTCTTGAGAGCCCTTCAGTTAGTGTGTTTGGAGGGAGATGAATGGAGAAAGGAAGTGGGTGAAATATTGGAGATGATGTGAACATTTAATTTAACAATGCCATTCACTTGTATTTTAACAATTATATCTTGAAAATTCACCTGTTGAGTGTTCAGGGCTCCAAATGTTAAATTGTAGACATCAGCACGATGTGCTCCTTTATGAAACAGCTTCCATCAGCCAATAGATTTTCTCCCCATTTATTTTAAGTAGTTTATCTCAGATTTTTTTTCCTGTACCTAGTGCAGATTTCATAGCTACATTGATGAGCTTTGTAGCACCAGCCAAAAGGGATTTTAAAAAGTAACTTGCTGTTTAATACTGAAAGTTTCCTTCAAGCTTAAGTGGAGTGTTGCAAGCTTAAAACTTACTTATCCATAGCCTATGTACCAGCGGGGAAGAATATGGATGAGTAGGGATGATTTTCCATGTTAGCATGTTAGAACAATTTGATTTGGGCTTCACATTGGTAAAAAGAGAGAATCTGCTTTCTTGGCAAGGAGTAAAATCTCTCTTAACCTTTTCAACCTAGGGAAATTCATATCTGCACCAATTTGGGCTCAAGCTAAATAATCATCGCCATCATAGATTCAGAAAGGAAAATGGGTTGCTAAGAGAAATAAATTTGGATTACAGAAGATTTGAAGTAAATTGTGGTTTTCTCATATAAAATTCAATGCAAGGACACTCTGGATTGTTCATTGCAATGATAAGAAATTGCTGAAAATGTACAATATGTTCAGTTCCTCGAGAGCTAATACAAGCCAAAAAGAGCTGGCTTCCTTCATCTCCGCAGGACTTAATGGAGTGGGAGCTAGCAAGCGTCTGGGCATCCTGTATTACTTTTAAGATATACTCATGTGAACTTTAGCTACATTACCCACACAATCTACCCTTTGTAGACGTACGTCTCTGATGCTCATGCCTTGTCTTGATGCTGGCAGCTGCCAGTCCTCCTCCAAAGCTTGAATTTCTCCTTTGCCAAGAGGCATGTGAGAAGCCAGGCAGTATTGAGGCAACTGCCTTTCTGCAGGCTGTATTTCAGCTCCTGGGTAGTGTTACCTGCCTCAGCCTGGGCACTCAGCACCTCCCTTTGGGAGCCAGGAGTGATCCTGCACCACTGTCCTTAAGTGTGCCTCATGTTAACAGCACTGCAGGCAAAACTCATGACTTACAGGTGACACAGGGGCATCCCTTTGAATAGAGCATCATAGAGCTTTACTGCTTTGTAATTCCAGTATGTTTAAAAAAAAATCTGAAGCACTAATTTAAGTGGTTTCAAATTACTTCTGATTCATTTTAAGCCAATTGAAATGGCTTAAGCTGTATGTATTTTTTCAGTTCATCCTCAGAACTGGAAACAGTACTGTTTCTAATATCCAAACTGGAGGTTACAATCACCATTCACTTGCAACCATAAACAAACAAATGAAACCAGCCAGACAAAATCAGAAGCTATTCAAACGTGAACACCTTCAACAAGCAAAAGATGGTTTGGAGGGTCGTAGGAGTTATCTTACTGCTCCAAGAAACTTACTTTAGTGGGGCTTAATTATTAATTCTTTAGATGTTTGTCAGGTACAAACAGGGATGTCATAGGTTGTGGCATCAATTCCTTGTGAACCAAATCTGGAAAATGACTCAAGGTGATGGTGAGCTCTGCCCTGTAGTATGTAGTTTAAAGCTGATTATCACAAATTTTGTTGGTTGTGAAGTTAAAGCCTCTTTACAGAAATGTGGTTGCACTTACCTGTGGTCAACGCTGTAAGCACTTTAAGCACCTTACACAGAAAATTAGTTTCTTAGAGGTAGTGACCTTTTATGCCATTGTAATTTTCCATTCATATTTCTTGATAGAACCTTTTGAATGCTCCCACAGACAAGACAGGCTTCTTGCAGCATTCTTTGCACTATGGCTTTTATCCGGCTGAGTCAGAGTTCCTTAACTCTACTTTTTTGGTAACATTTTAAATGTTTCCATAGGGACGAGGGGAAATGCGTAGAGGGAATTTTGGAAATCTTTGATATGCTCCTGGCCATGACCTCGAGGTTCCGAGAGCTGAAACTGCAGCACAAGGAGTATCTGTGTGTCAAGGCAATGATCCTCCTCAATTCCAGTGAGTACACAACTGCCTCCGACACTCACCAAAAATTATACTTATTTCGACTGCGGCTGGGAAATTAGTGTCTAAAAAGGACAGAAATATCAAATGAGATAAAGCATAATTCAAAGGGAACGCTGGAAAGGGACCTCATCAAATCATAAGGGTTTTTGCTCGAGAAACTTCTAAGCCATATTGTTCCAGATAACTGCATGAGCTCAGAGCTCCGTGGATCCTGGTCACGGGTTATACTTCTTCATGCCTATATATGCCTGTTCTTCGTGCTAGTAAAATTATTTACTCAACCGAGTGGCGATCAGTTGTGCTGAAATATTTCTGTTTAGTGATAATTAGTACAAATGCTAGAAAGAATTCAGCACTTCTGCAAGATGAATGTGAGGACAGAAAGTTTACTTTGCAGCCTTCTACAGCCTGCGGTAAAATCCTTTTATTCCCCAGAACATTTTGTAAGGTCAAAAGGAAAACAACAACAGCAACAAAGAAACCAACTGAAAGCCATCTGTATATAGAATGATGATACTATTTACATCTTCTGTTTTCAGCATGAAGCTTTTGTGTAACTCTCAGCGCTGTTTCCGAAGGGGAATAGTCCAGCTGTTTTCTGACTTGTTTGTAGAACAGATTCCATTACTTCAACTGACAACAGAGATCTTCCATTTATTTTTATTTAGCCAAAGGGAAAAAAAAGTGCTCATTAGCCGTGGCTTTTTTTTAAAAGCTTCACCTCTCAAAAAAAAAAACAAAACACTTCTCCTCTCTTGGCTCTCCTTCCTTAGCAAGGTTAATCTGTTACTTCTGGTGTTCAAGGTGTTCAGGAGCTCTCTCCATCCATAGGCATCTTTGGTATTCTCTATCAAGAAATACCAGTGAGTATTTCCAGACTTTCCTCGTGGCAATTTATTCTTTCTCCACCCCACTCCCCTTTCTTCTGCTTTTGCTGACTTCTGAGGTGTCTCACAGTAGGCAGGCGCTGTCCTGTGGCACCGTGGTGAGCTGCTGGGAGCCTACAGCAGTCAGTAAGAACAGCTGCTCTCCTCCTCCCTTGGATTTACTTGGAGAAGAAAGGTGTTTTTTTTTGTTTTTCCAGCATGATAGAAGCTAAACGGTGTGGTGCAATGTGATTCAAAGGAAAAAACCATGGAGAATGGAAAGCACGTCTGCTTCCCCACAGACTGAGAGCTCGGTCTGACTGAAGAGCCTGTGTTCAATGTGTTGTCTTGGGAGGATTTGGGAGAGTTAATCACTATGCAGTCGATGTAGAAATCCCATTTGGATGAAGAAATACAAGCTGACGCTTGGCATGTTACATGCAGCACTGTTTGTATTGTGTTGGGGTGTGTGAATGTGTGTCAGGAAATACATCTTTTCTTATCCTGTGAATTATTACATTGGAAGACAATCCACACTCACAGTTTTTTGTGCCTCACAAGCAGGATTTCTTTTTCTCCTCTGGTAGGCATGTTTCCCTTGTCAGCAGAAGAACCCGAAAGCAACAGGAAACTGCACCACCTGCTCAATGTGGTCACAGATGCTCTGGTGTGGGTTATTGCAAAGAGCGGAATCCCCTCCCAGCAGCAAACAACTCGCCTGGCCAATCTGTTGATGCTGCTCTCCCACGTCAGACATGCAAGGTAAATCTTACAGAATATGGAGGGATATGCCAGCTGTTGTGTTTGCTTCTTACAGTGACAGAGTCGGTCTAGAACTCCACAGTGCCCCTGAAGGACCCTCTTCATCTCCCTTTTTGTAAGACTATCCTTCCTAGCATGGCTAACTAGGCAATGTGATCAGGTATTGGCTGGCACTCAACATGTTGTGTTAATATTAAAATGCTCTCTGAACTGTACTGCATTAAAGCATTCCTACGTACTCTCCTGAAACATTTAGCAACAATAACACAAATTCAGCCCTTTGACAAAATAAAAATAAATAGTAATAATAAAAGAAACACGACACCCAGCCATCAAAACTCTTCTGTTCAGAATTCCCTTTCAGAGCTGATCTGCAGCATGGATTTTGGAGGAACGAGGTATGGTTTGAACTTTGTACTTGTCCTGGGCCAAATATTTTGTGCATCCTGGGAGCCACAACTGGTCCTTTTACTCAGAACCCTAGCATTTTGCCATGCACTGCAACGATGGCTTTCCTCATGTGAAGCAGCTCTTCTGCTCCCTGCCAGCTCCCAGACCACCTTAGGTTTCTCATCTCTGCTTGCAGTACAGTGGTCTCAAATGCAAGGTGCTGCAAATAGATGCTTTAATTTTCGGTCTCTGTCATCTTGAATTGTTACCCAGAGATCAGCTGTTCACTTGTCTTGCATGGTGATGCAGGACCTTCAAGTGCAGAAGGAGGGCAGGAGGGGTAGGAGGGGGTCTTTGCTTTCCTCTTGGCTTTTGTTAGGCTTTTAGCTCTTGAATTGCAGCAGAACATCATTTTTTGGGATGCACTGCCTCCTTCCCAGACCAATCCAGTAGTTCAGCTGTGTACTGGCTGGTTACTGCTGTTTCCACTGTGATTGATTTGGTGTTGAGAAAGTGCACTTGGTTTTCAGCCCTAAAACTCTCTGAGTGTACCTTGATGCGTGTGTGTGTGTGTGTGTGTGTGTGTGTACAACTGCTGTACTTCAGCAATAGCCATCCCCTGTCAATCCAAATAGTGATACAGCTGCAGAGATTTCAAGTCAGCAAAATGTCACCGTACCTTGCTGTACGACCAAAAAAAGAGGATTCTTAAAGCCTGTAGTTATCTGCAAGATCTAACATTGGACAAGCAGAGAGGAAGCAAACTGCTTGAAGTTGGCCAATATCATATGGTATTTCTGCTCAGCCAGCTGGGAGAAGTAGGTGGTTCGCAGAGCTGCATGATGTGAATTCCCCTTTTGTTTGCAGCTATAGCACATGGGTCTCCCATGTTTATGGCACCGAAGAAGCTTTCTCTTTCATCTCAATGGGAATGATACATCTGAATCATTTTCTGAAGACAGTTTGTGTTGGAAAGCACGAATCTTTGTTCTCTAGATGGTGGATTGTAGCCTTAGAGCATTAGGATGTTGTTGTTGCTGCTAGCAGTATGTGATCCCACAGTCTGCAGCAGTTACATCTCTTAACTCATAAAAAAGGAACTCTTGAAGCCGTGATTGTGTTTTCCTTCTCTGTGCTGGTCATACATATCACTGACTTTGTCGTCTGTTTTTCTTTACAGTAACAAGGGCATGGAGCATCTGCTGAGCATGAAGTGCAAAAATGTGGTCCCAGTGTATGACTTGCTGCTGGAGATGTTGAACGCGCACACACTCCGAGGGCAAAAGAAGTCCCCAGTCACACATCCTGAGTTTGAATAAGTTTCACATTTCCAGGTCTGAACAGAAGTACGGGGCTGCCCCAATATGCAGGCAAATATACTGCAAATATGCAGGCTGTCCCTAGCCTCCATTTGCTGAAAGTTATGGGAGAAAACTAAGCTGCTGTGATGGGACTGCTGGAGCGTGACCTAGTGCCAGTCCTCATCTCTTGTCGATTCGCAATGGGATATCTTGGGAAAAGATTGCGAGGCGCACACCTCTGTCTGTTTCTGACATTATAATGGCTGCACTTTTATAGTGCCTTCTGTGAGACTCTTAAAAGCACCTTACGAAATTAAGCCTCAGAACAGTCCTGCGAGACAGGGAATTATTGCCTCTCCTTTTTAAAAGCAAATGAGACAAAAAGATAAAGTGACCGGGTTGAGATGACAGAGGTCTGTGTGGGGGCCAGGGGTCAGGGCCTCGCTCTCTGAGTCCCAGCCCAATCCTTTTAAGCACTAACTGATCTTTTTCAGTGTGAGGTGGTATGAAATATACAGCAGCAGTATTTGGGACAAATCTGCTTACCTGTGTGTGCTGGGCACTGGGCAACGCTGCTTTGCAGGTGATGTGCACAGTGGAAAGGAGTTTCCTTTGTTCTTAAATATGCAATGGCTGCATGGGCCCTCATTTGAGGGCCATTCTGAATAACATCTTGGGCTAGTTCGGAGCCTCTTCAGAAATGCGAAACCAAGCTTACATTTGCATTCTATGAGCAAGTTCTTAACACCCGTGCTATTACCTGTGTACAATTCTTCAGCGCTTTAAAGCAGCACAAAACTGCCCCCTTCTTTCAGTCAGTGCTGACTTTTGAAATGTGTTCTGTCTGTGACATGAAGATGTTGTTTTATATATTTATTAATGGTGTTAAATCTATTATAACATTTAGGTACAAAAGGTTGCTGTGTGAATATCGTGTGCGTTCATACGTGCTCTGCCAACCGGGGCTTGTGAGATCAGTGGGGAAACGCCTGCATTCCCTCCCCTTTTTTGACTGCCTGTGCGTCTGAGTCCTGCCCGCCCCAACCATAGGGGTGGGGAATGGGAGGCTGAGCTGGGCTGCTGCCCTCAGGTTTGCTGCTTGCTGGTTCTCCAAGCGCGTGAGACCTGAAGCTGTTCCATATTTTGTGCAGGATCCTTCAGAAGTTTGTTTGACAGGTGCGAGGGCTTGTTTGAATTGAATGTCACTTGGGATGCAGGCTGAGGCCTCCCTGTGTGCTGCCTTCTGCATGTGTTTAAGACCCGCTAAGGAAAATAAAGAAGGGAAATAGCTCAGCTGACCACCTCAGCGAAGAGCAGAATGGCACCATTCGTTCCAGTCACTGCCAGTATTGCATTTTGATGTGAGCTACAATTGCAGTTGCTATCAGTGGAAGTGTTTTACTATAATACATGCGTGGTTTTGGCATTGCGGGTGTGGTGACATTAAACTGGGACTACCCCAAAAGTCCATTTGGAGCCTAAGTCTTTTGGATGAGGGACTTTGCGCTGTTCCCCCTTTGCATGCTTTGAGTATCTTGAAGACCCTTGATCCTGGTGTTTTTTGAAGCCCAGGACAGTATTTTTTATAGGAGGGGCATCAAGCATTGTCAGTGAGTTGCACAGATCTCTTGTCCTGTTTTTGATCTTGTACTATACCAGATGCTGCTGCTGTCTCAATTTTTACTGGCTACCTTTCTATTGTTTATAAGAAATGTAATATAGCAGTGCCCTGCTAAAATATTTAATATTTACTACAAAAAAAAAAAAAAAAGGAAAAAAGAAAAAAAATGTAAGTACAGTCTTGAATTCATTGGCTCCTTATTCATTTTGAGGGAAGTTTTGCTGTGAGAAGATATCTTTGGCTGCCATCACCTCCCAGCCTTCCCGCTTTGTAGTGTTCTTTCTCTGATTTTCCTTTTCCTGTGTATTTATTTTGTTCAATACAATTTTTCAAAGAAACATTGAAGTGCTATTTTTTGTTTCTCTATAAAAGCGCCGAGTTTATGTGCACTCCTGAAGCAAATGTCTGGGAAACTGGGAAAGAGTGGGTATCAGTCATACAACAAATGTCTAAATGCCAATTTACTCTGGATTGATGCAGAAGGGCGGTGCTGCAGATTTGTGCCATGCTGTGATTCACACGTTTCTACTCACAGTCTAAAAGGGAACAGGATGTGATTTCAACAGATTTTGTTTCGTTAAGCATTGTTTTATTGAAAGCTACTACCAGTGTTTTAAAATGGGCAAAACCCAATAGCTGCCACATCTGTGGATTGATGTTCATGTTTGCGTAAAGAGGGAGGTGCACGGCACAGCTGATAAACAAGGACCTTGTGATAAGGCAATGAACGCTGACTCCTGAGTAAGATGCTGTGTTAACCGTGGGTCTGTATCCCACAGATCTTCTCATGTACTGCAGCCCAGGTGAGGAGAACATCCGTGTCCAACCCAGGCCTGAGCAGAGCTGTTGGTGCATTTCAGCTCCTGTATAGCGAGCATCTCCATGTCCAGCAGGAAAGAACGGAGCTGAGGAGCTACAGAGGCCCATCAGGAGGTGAGAATGCGGCTGCTCTGCAGCATCCCTTCCCTGCTGCACATCAGCATCTGCCACAGAGTGGGACTGGGCCAGAGGTGGTTGTTTCTGCCTGAATTGTGCTGCAGTTCTGGGAGCTGCGATGAGGGTGTCATGTATGATTCATCTCCAGGAATGCTACACCTTTTCCAGAGCTCTGTGTTTTTGCAAATTACATTTGGTGCTGCCAGAGGGGAGAAGATGAGTGGGAAAGTCCTCCCTTGAGACAGTGCCTGATAGACTGGATGCTCCTATGAAACATGCAGGAAAGCAAGACAGATAGCACATACTGTCTGTATAAATATGGCTAGGGCCATATCTAGGGAACCTGCTTGAGCTGGGGGTTGGACGAGATGCTCCAGAGGTCCATTCCAACCCCTACAGTTCTGTGATTTTTTCAGTTAACTCCTTACTGATTGAATGCTATACAGGGAACACTGTGATGAGCGGAGAGCATCCTTCTAACTGCCGGAAGTTTTTGCTTTCCCCTTGATGGCATGTTGAGATTCAAAGACATTTACTGTGTTTGCATCATTAGAGTGGTTTAAAGAGCTCCTAGAAATGCAGTGAGTCTTTGGAAAGTTGCCTCTTTATCCTTTTGAACTGTTACCAGTGGTCAGCTTTATTTAAGGTAAGAATTATTGTTTTGTTTAGACATCACTGGAGAATATATAGTTTAGATTTGCTGACAGAGGATGCCAAATATATGTGTACAAACAGGCACAAAAGATTCAGAGGGCAGCTCAGCCTGAGCACACTGATACTGCTGAAGGCCCATGGGTGTGATGGGGTTCTTTAGAGGCACAGCACTGCTCTGCTGCAGGATATTCCTGGCACCTTTGGGTCCCAACTACACAGAAAGCAAGCCTGAGCTTTTTACTTTGGGCTAGACACAAATGGCTTCTAAAAGCAGGGCCAGAGCCTGCTTTTGTGTCCAAGGTTGTTCTTTCTTGTCTGAGTGATAGAAAATAGCTGTGCACTGATCTAACAGTGTTCTTTCTTAGGCTGTGCTTTATCCCTCATATATTAAAAATGTGGTTGTTCTTAAGAAGCCTATTTTAATCTTAGCACTGAGAAATCGTGGCAGAAAAAGAGGCAACTCTCTCCCCTCCCCATCCTTTCCCATGAAGGTAAAACTGCCAATGGCAAACACGTTGCTTGTACCTTGACAGCTGATGATTAAAGCAAGGTATGGATGTGCACGGCTTCATTTGAGATGCCTTAAACTGAGTACAGTCTGATGTCCTGTCACAGGAATTACTGGTTTTTAAGGTTGAATTTTGATCTTCTGGCCAGTTCCCTGGATGGTAGAATAGCTGAGCTTGGCTGCTGTAAGCCAGCACAGCCAGGGACAGGAGTCATGGACATGCCTTGGCTGTTGTCACCATTCTTCTAAGAAGAAAGTGTTGGACATTATTATGTCCTGCAAGATTATAACTTGGCACAGTTAAGGATGCAGTCGTATATTGTGCTGACCCAGTGCCTAAACTAACACTAAGGATAGCTTTGTAAATGGGAGTACGGAAAGCAAGTGGATTGCTAAAATGTATTGTAAATTATTATTGTTGGCATTTTACTACTGAACTGAAGTGGTGAGTTAAAAGGCGTAGTATGTTTCATAGCCAAAGCTTCATTTTATTGATGATATGGATATTTTATAACTATTGTTCCCTTCTTTTAGCACAGAGATCACCTACACTAACGCTTTGTTGAGTGTCAGTGATTTCTATGTAAGTGCATTAAAAGCAGACTGCAGTGGTATAAAATGCCAGCTTCTGCTGCTGCTGCCTGAACAAATCTTTCTTTACTTGTCACAGTGCTGTGTAGTGAAGAGATACTGTATCCATGAACAGTTGTTTCTGCATGTTTCTTATGTCTACTGCCGTAGAATTTTCTGAGTCCTGCTTCCTACATGGTGTTAGTTTCAGTAGTTTGTCCTCACCACAAGTCTGGAGTGGAAACAGTGTTAGGAGTGAAGTTGGCACCTTTTGTTCTATGTCTGTAATATGGATGGGAAAAACAAACAAATCAACCTTTGTCCTGTCTCTCAGCTATTTAGTTCTGTGAATTTAAGGTATTTTGCCAGTGATGCACGCATTGTTAAGTTGTGGACTGTTGTGGCTGAATAAACCAGTATCACGAAACCTAAATATGTGGGGTTTTGCTCATTTCTTTCTTGTAGCTGATCTCAGTCTGCTTTCTGGAGCCTATGATGTGTGGAATCACAGTGTCTGTGGGTAAGAAAGTGTCTCATCCTGACCTTCACACTTCTTCGTATGCTGTAGGTGGATTTATCAGGTATGGGACTTCTTAGGAAGTTTCACAGCTCCAAGTGGCTCCGTAGGTTTCAGGCATTTAAATTTGAATTTAACTGTAAGGGTGCCAATTTGTAACAGTTCTGAAAGCAGAAAGTGGAGGACTGTTTGTTCACTGACTAATTATGGGGAGTTGGGCTAGATACCTCAGAGTCCCTTCCAACTCACACAATTCTGTGATTTTGGAAGGAGGTACAGCTGAGATCAGATGGATCTCATCTCCCTCACAAAGATGACCTCAACCCAAAGCCAGGTGGAGGCGTTTCACTCCTTTGTACAACACCTGTGCACGTATGCACTTGCTCTCCCTATTGCTCCTGCCCTCTTTCTTTTTTTTCCCCTATTCATTGAGCAACTCCAGCCTGAGTGCCTGAGTGAGGATGACAGTAGGAGCTGGGTGGATATATATATAATGACTTGTTTGAAGCAGACATTAGAGTCAGCCTAGGTATGGCGCTTATAATCAACTGAGGTAAAACTATTGAAAATAGGACTGGGGGAAAAACATTTAATTTCCCAGAATTTATTTTTTTGCTACATTTTGAGATAATTTCATAAAAGCTCCTCATATTATACATTACCTCAGCTTGACAATTTGATATAACTGTATATAATAAGGAAATTGCAGGCTATGAAATTCTCCTTTGACCTTTTAGCATTGTTCCAATTTTTATCCCTGCTTAAGTTGCTTAATGGCAGCAGAACTGAATATCATGTCAGCAAGTGACTATTAGTCCTCGGCAGAAAGGTTTGCATGGGCATTTGTGACAACCCGGCAATGAAATAAGGGCTAGAGTTGGCTGACTTCTGCAGAGCCAGAAACTGAAATGAGCTCCATCTGAAAGTAATTGCTTTCAAAACATAAAATGATGAGAGTGGAGGAAGTGAAGGAAGGAGAGGTGGGGGGAAGAGGGCCCATTCCTACCTCCTGGTACTATAGAGCTGTGAAACTCAAATAGATTCCAGTTTGGAATTTTTCTTCTCTTGCCCTGACGAGCAAGAGAGCGATAACACAGCTTTTGACACAGCTGCATGAGCATGCAAATATGTGGACTTATCAGGGTGTGGAAGGGTCAGCACTGCTGGAACACACCGCTGCTTGCCCCGCGCCACACACACCGCTACTCCCTGCAGACAGTGGCAGAATTTTAATGAGGACTCAAACTGTACAACCGAGGAGCAATGGTGAAGCTGACTGTACACAATGTTTCTCAAGCCATTGCCTACACTGTCAATTTCACGTTTAAGGTGGAGAATCTTACAGCGAGTTTATATATAAAAAGAAAATGCACAATTCTCTCCCCAGATCCTGTACACTATTCAGCAGGTTAAAATCTGAAAAAAAAAACAACTTTCATTAAAAAAGTCATTACAGTATTTGCATACATCAGGGATAGTCTACATAATTGTGTTCATCTAGAAAATCTGTGCATTTATAAAGCATTTCCATGCACTGTAACAATTCTGTATTTCAAAAGAGGTACAAAAAGACATCACAGCAGTCCTAACCACTAGAAAATTACATGTAAAACAAAACAAATGTGCATCCTTTTATTGAATGTGTCAGATGAATAAAACACAGTAACAAAGATTCGGAAAGATGCAGATTTCTATTTCCACCCAGTGATCACAGTACCAAAAGATACAGTCATGTGAAGTGTGTGCAGTAATCGGTTTAGGCAAAGTGCCTCTTCAACTGCTTGTTCATCGCGCCAACCCGAGACCAACTGCTGCGTTTGAGATTACTGTGAAGAAGTTTCTGCATCTAATAACTCAGTATTCAATCACCTTGCAAGCTTAAGTGCACTGCAGCTACAAAATAGTGTTCTATTGCATCAAAGTATAAAGTGTGTTGCTTAAGGTTTAAAAATCTATAGAAAAAGTTCATTTTCCATACAAAAATGCTGAAACTTTCTCAAGATATACACTTTGAGATGTGAAATTTAACACATTCCCATCCACCGGAGAACGCTAAAATGTGAGGCTTTATTGAGCTGCAGCACAGGCTTGGGCAGCGGCGTGTAGGATGGGAGGGGGCTGTAGTGGCCTGTTTAGGGAACTAACACAGCATACAGGTTTCTGTATTTAACTACGTGATATCACCATTTCACTGATGCCAGCAGCATAAAAATAAGCACCGCAAAGAGTGTGTTTTGGTATAATGGAGATCCCTGGGCTTCTTCCTATGTCGGTGGAGGCCCGTTGGTGTATCGCAGCATTGGATAGAAAGAACGGGCGAAGTTGTTTGCCTGGGTGCAGCTGTAGTCTTCCTCAGAAGATGGAATCATGCACGCCAGGAGAAGAAGTAGTAGAAAGAACAACTGGAGGGGTAAAGCTGCTCGTAACACACGGTAAAAGAAGGAGGGGGACCGAGGGACCACGTGAGTCGGTTGTGCGTGGCTTTCAGCTCTGAAAAGAAGATGCACACACACAGAAACAGCACTTCAGAGTTTGAATTAGAAGTTATTTTAACTGCCTCTCGGGGGTTCATACCCTGTACCCAGTGCTGCACAAGAACACTTTAAGTGTAACTTCAAAGCATGCAAGACTGCTCTGGAGGAAGCCAGCCACTAGATTAGCCTTATATTTCTTTTTTTATACATCTAGAAAAGAAATGTTTATTTAAAATAGCTCAGATCAGTGGGTTTTAAATGTATTTTTTGGGTTGCAAATGCATGTTTTCCCTGCAGTCAAACAAGCCACTCCAAGTACTTGGAAATGGACCATGGAAAGTCACTGCTCCAGCCTGAGAAGACTCTATTTTGCCTGTGTCACCACAATCAATCTTTTTAACAGACCCTACCATAATGGAGGTGACATTTCTTCCTTCATGGTCTGTTTTCACTAAATGCCTCTAAGGTGCAAGTTGCTTTGTACAAGGTTGTTGGTGACTTACTTAAAAAGCAAATATTCCCCCATTTGGCTTAAAAAGATCTTCTCAAGAGGGAAGACAAGCTCAGATTGCACAGCAGTGCAGAAGCTGAGAAGCTCCATCTTCTTCTGTGTTAGCTTACTTAAGAGGAACAGCTGCCTTACCACTCGGGTTAATACAAATTCATACCTTGTGTTGCTGTTTTTTCTGCCATCTGAAGTTCTCCTTATTGTGATCTGTTGAGAGAAATAGTATCTATTAACCAGAATTCATAAACTATAGCAAGGAATTTCTTTCTTAAAAGAAGGCTGTTTTAGGCTTTCAGTCCTGTTGTAAGTTCTGTAATAAGGTATACACATCTAAAAGGTAAAATGGCTTCATCTGAGGAACCTTCAAGCTAATCACACACACATATGCTGACAGTGAAGTATTTTAAATAAACAAATACATTAAAAAATACTAGCCTTCTTCACAGGAGGGCTGGATTTCACTGCAACTGGATGATAGACTTCTGAGTCCAAGTCATCTGGAACTGGCAGGAATACTCTGCTATCCTAAAAGGCAACCACATGTCCTCTTTAAAATGCATCATCAAAATTCAAAACAGAGGGAGTTCAGAATCATCTTCCATTGTTTGTCTACAGTTGTGCAGCTTCTTTAGCACAACCAGCAGTAAAGAGATGCTCTGGTTCTCTAGCATAACAAAATGTTACCTGCTATGCTCAACCAGAAAGCACTGCTAAGGAACAAACACGTGCAGGTATTAACTCGAAAACTTCTCTATCTGATAGTTCTCACAGATAAGCAGCATATTTCTGCTGAGTACTGAACTTCTGTGAGTTCATTACACACTCCTAGTCTGATACTTGGTGAAGCTCATAGGATAAATTAGGTTAGAAGGGACCTCAGGAAGTTTACCTAGTTGAATCTCTTGTTCAGAGCAGGGTCAGCCATGAGATCAGACTGGGTTATTGAAGGCTTTCTCCTGTTTGCTTTGAAACCCATCAGGGATAGAAACTGCACAACCTCACAGGGCCATCTATTTCAATAACCAACTAGTCTTGTGCTAAAATTTGTACTTACATCAAGACTGCTCTTAGCTTCTGAAGGTAGAATTACTGAAAAGTATTTATAAAAAACTGAATTGAAACGAACGTTATCATTCATAAATAAAAAAGGCTGCTGAACAAGTATTTAAACTGACTCACCAGACATCCTTGTACTGATTTCAAGTCATGTGAAACTTGCTCAAGAAGCTGTTTCAGTTTCTTTCCAATCACATGGACCTTCTCATCAGCTTCAATGTAATCTTCGCCATCAGATTTAAGCAGCAGGTAAGCAGAGAGTTCTTGAAGACAGTTTACTTTAAGCTGCTGTTCCAGCAGCTCTTTCTCCAGTTGCTTAGAAGAAACAAAAAAAACCAGTGTAACAAGCTGTTACTTTCATCTTGATGGATGCTCCCATAAGCGGATGAGCTTTAGGAAGCTTTGAAGAACAACTCAACCTGCCTGTCCAAGCGCAGTACACGGGAACTGCTGCAACAGCTGCTTATGAAATGAGCATAATGCTTTTCCTTTTGTGGTGAGAGCTATTGACCCACTGGGAGAAGTGCTATAGTCTCTACTTACCAATAACTCTTTCTGGCTTTCCAGTACTGTATGTGGGTCAGCATTTGGCTCTGTGATTTGTGCCTCACTCCTTCGGCCTTCGGCACTTGCTAACCACAGGATTAGTTTTTGGCTCTGATCATGGAAGTCCTAGAGGAAGAAGTGAGAAGAGAAGAAGAAGAAAGAAGAGAAAAAAAATATTTTTGCAGCATTTTCAAAACAGGAGACCCAGCCCAGATGAGAAAGAGCTGACAAGTAATTAATAATCAAGGAGGCTTTAGTTAAATGAGTACATTCGTAGGATAAGGAAAGTATTTTCCAGTTCAAAGCTATTTTTGCGAAACCCTTCAAACCCA